GCCCCAACTTATCTTTCCAGCTTCTTTGTACATTACTCATCATCTCACACTCTCCAGTGCAACCGAACTGTCCTCTCTGTTCTTCACACAAGCATTTTCATCTCTTTAAATTGGTCCTATGGGCCCATGTTCCTGGAATGCATTGGCTCTTTTCTCTCTCTTCTTTCAAGACGTAGCTCATATGTCATGTACTGTGTGTTCATGTGCCATATACCATTCTACATGAAGCCTCATCTGACTTCCCCCAACTGCTAGTGCTTTCATTCTCAAACTACCTTTAGCTATTTTGTATTTATTCTCTATATGTTTATATGTGTACTAGTCTAGACCATTAATGTAAGATCCTTGAAAGTAGAGTTTGATTCTATGTATTTGTGTTTCTAGGTCTTGCACAGTGCCTGGAACATACTTGGTGCTTATTAAATGCTTGTTGATTGATTTGTTGATACTTTTGTATGTAGTCTCTTTATTGGGCTTTTAGACTTATTATCTTCAATTTGTGTTGAAGAAAAGTAGCTGAAATCAACATCTAAAAAATATAGGCCATATAATATTTATTTTAAACACTGACAGTGTGAAATACCATTGATACAAAAATATGGTGGTCTACTTTCATTTTCACATCAAGTTAGGAATAATTATCAGTTTGAGTTTTTAGTTTGGTTTTAAGGATTAAGATATTTTTCAGTATCAAATTGTAGAATTTTTAAAGCCTTATTTACTGAATTTTAGAAGTAATATAAATGCTGCTTTTTATAAACTGCTATTTAAGCAGTAAAATAATAGAATATCAGTGGATTCATTCATTTGCTTTTTACTTTTGATAGTCTTACCACAGTAAGTACATCCCTGAAAAGATGTATAGAAGTGTCATTTTTGTAAATCACATTTTAAATATACTAAGATTTGAATTCTTTGTTGGCCAGAGATGCTGTGTTTGCTTTGACAAAAGCAGAACATTGGGATTTTTTTTTATGAAGAACTAGGATTTTATTTTCTCTTTAAGAAAAAGTTGCTCTGTCAATATAAAAAATTATGACCAAGATTTTTGAAAATTCTAGCCTAATAGTCTTTAAAATTAAATACCTTATATGCAGTCTGTGTGGGCACTTAGGTGGCATATTGGGTAGAGAGTGCTGATCCTGGAGTCAGGAAGACTCATCTTCCTGAGTTTAAGTCTGGCCTCAGACACTTATTAGCTGGGTGACCCCTGGGTAGTTTATTTAACCTTGTTTATCTCAGTTTTCTTATCTGTAAAATGAGCAGGGGAAGGAAATGGCAAATCCCAAATGAGGTCATAAGTGGTTGAACACCACTGATCAACAAACAACAATGAAATACCGTTCTTATGTTAATACTTTTATTAAAAGCTTTTTGTTTTTAAACAACTATTAGTTTCCTTTTTTTGACTTTTTTTTCTCTAGGCAAAATAATTTGTTTGAAAATGCCCACACGCTGAATCAGGATGATGGTCTCAGGTGGAGGTACTTTAACCTAAAGCCACTGTACATATGTCACTAAGTTGAGAGCATAGCATTCTTCTAAATCTGCCACTCTAATCACTGTCATTTTCTTATTTTTCTTATCAGATATTTCACACATTTTGATGATTTTTCTGGAATGTTTATAAATATTTTGAGCTTTCTAAAACGTACAAAATTCTTAGATAATAGCTAACATTAGTTTACTATATGCCAGTACTATGCAAGTATTATCTCACTTAATCCTTAAAATAATCCGGGGACATAGGGGCTATTATTATAACCATTTTATAGATGGAGGAAAATGAGGCATATTAGTTGAGTGACTTGCTCAGGGTCACGTAGCTAATAAGTGGCTGAGCTTGGATTTAAACTCCGGTTTCCCTGACTCTAGGCCCAGCGCTACTATACATACTCCACATAGCTGCCCACATATAGTAAAGTAGTTCTGATGGTTTTCTTTTTTTCCAATCAATATATGAACCTCATTAAAGATTTTTATGAAATTTATGGGTTTTTTCCTGTTTAATTAAACAATTTTCAGAAATTCAAAATAAAAGTATAGAGAACAAAAGTTTAAAAATAAAATGGTCTTATGCCTATTCACCCTTATCTTAGGTTATTTATTTTTTATTCATTTATTAGAAGTAGGATTTCTTTAATTCTACTGTGTGCTACTATTTGAAGAGCTTTAGGGGATGCAGAAAAACAGTAATGTGCTCTCTGCTGTATTAGATTTTATGGGAGAAAAATGCTACTACTCCATTCAGCTCACAGCAACCTGAAGGTTCCTGGAAGCTGGATTGTGAACAATTTTTCCTTTTTTTAGTTCAGGCTGACTGTTTGCTAGCCATTGGAGAATTGTAAGCTGTAAACTGTATGTTTCAAACTAGTTTTTCCTGAAGTAGCAGTTACCATGTGATTACTGTCTCACATGGGGGTTAAGAGAAGCTGATGTTTTTTATTACAACTTTTTTAGTATCACAACTTGCCATTCTATTTTATGGACCACCAAACCAAAAAACAAACAGATGTGGTATCCATTTTTAAACTGTTTTCTGAGAATGAAACTGAATTCTAATATTCCAGTTATCCTAGAGTGAAACATTCTGTCTTGTTGAAAGTAGTGTTATAAGCAATTCTAATACTTTTCCTAGCCAAAGAAATTTCACGGATTGTTAGGAAATTGATCAACTCTTCAAAGTTTCCAAAGTTAATTTCTTTTCTTTTCTTTTTTTTTTTTTTTGCTTTTAGGCAGTTGAGGTTAAGTGACTTGCCCAAGGTCACACAGCTAGTAAGTGTCGTGTTTGGTCTGAGGCTGAATTTGAACTCAGGTCCTCCTGACTTCAGGGCCGGTGCTCTATCCTCTGCGCCACCTAGCTGCCCCAAAAGTTAATTTCTAAAACCTAAATTATTCCTTCAAAAATTAACAAAACTTTCAGAATCCACAAGAAAATAAAGGATTATTTTAAGACTTTAATGTTTGAAAATAAAATTGGAAAAGCTGTTTCTCAGTATAGAAAAGAATATTCTGAACTGGTGAACTCATTAACATTTCAAAGGACATTGATAACTGGTGATAATTTAATTTTTATAAATTTAAATGAGCTGAATACATCTATTGTAAAACCTTTTCTGCCTCCTTATGTTTTAAAGTTTTAAAGAAATATATTTCTTTTTTTTTGTGAGGCAGTTGGGGTTAAGTGACTTGCTCACAGTCACACCTAGTAAGTGTTATGTGTCTGAGGCTGGATTTGAACTCAGGTCCTCCTGACTCAAAACAATTGGATGAGAAGAATTTTTCATATTTTTATCTTTATAGTAAGAAAACTTTTTTAAGTTGCTTTTTTAGGATCAGCATGTACTTCCCATCCATCTCTTCTAATAGGTTGTTGAAAGTTAGATCTTGATGATTGGTTTTATATTAAGAGAAATCTGAAAAAGTGAAGATCTGTATAATCTGATATTCTAAATTCTGCCCTCCTGCTTCCTATTACTTCTTCCATTGTTAACTCTACTTCCAAATCCAGGTTCTAGCTTGCTATCACACACATTTGGGTAAGGTCTTTGATTTAACAGATACTTCTAAGTTTCAGATGAGTAGTGGCTAGGTAAATCAAAATTGTACTATAGCTAATTTTTTCCCTCAGCAATTTTTAACTAAATAAGACTAAAATAAGTCTTAGAATGTATCTATTTTGTGCAGTTAAGTTTTATGTTTTCTTCACAGACAGGATCCAGGCTATTTTAGCAGGGATATAACTGATTGAATAGTTTAAATAATAATGCCAAAGTAGAAGGATTGCTTTAAAACTTTTGTATGTATGCCACTAAATACTTACAGTATCATAGATTTACAGCTGGAAGGAACCTTATAGGTCATTGAGCCTAACTCTCCATCTCCTTGCCCATTTTACAGATAAGGAAACTGAGGCTGGGAAGATTAAGTAACTTGCTCAGCATCATGAAACTAGTTAGTTTCTGAGGCATGATTTGAATCCGTGTCTTACTCCAGGTCTAATGCTCTCACTTTGCCATGTTGCATAATAGTTTCTAAGTATTTGGGAATTTCTCATGGCAGGTACAAATTTTCCTATTTGCAAGGAAATATAATCAAGAATATGCTCTTGTAGCCACATAGAGGTTTCAAAATTTATATTCATCCATTGCTGAATTGTTAACATTTTGACTTCGATTTTGTGTTAACGGAGCTATAGTCACCAGGACCAAGTTGATAATGGTATGATTTTTTTACAGGCAAGCAAAGAATATTCCATGTTAAACTTTGACTCATGCAATTTAATTTATTGTAAAGGGTGTACTTGATCTGATAAGGGAAGTCAGGTGGTCATTTTTTATTTTAAATCTTTCTCATTGTTCCATTTTCCCCATCAGAGCCTAAGTCAGCATTTGTTCATGGATTTTTTTCCCTCATTTAGTAGGTAACCAAAATGCTCTTGTGTTTATGTGTGGAAATCTAGTGAATGATGTCAGTGTAAAAACTATAAAGAATGTACCCTTGAGCTCTTGTTTTAGTACTCAGCTATAAAATAGAATTTTAGTACTCTTCATTTCTGTGCCATTTGAAAGTATGATCAAGTTCCCATATAATAATACAGGTAAAAGTTGACTCTTGGAGTACAGGACTTTGTTTCCTTATACTGTGTTTTTAACTTATGCATTTGCATCTTTCATATGTACCACATTTACTATTTAAATATAGAAGGTTTTGTCTCATGTTTTGTTTGGGAATATCTTGCTTATTGGAAATACCTCACTAATTTGAAACTTAAAATTTGGTTTTGTTTGGAAATAAGAAGTCACACATTTTTGATTCCTTTAGTGAACTGACCTAGTTGCAGTTTAGTGTCTAGTCCTTAATTAAAAAATAGAACAAAACTTCAATTTAACTATATGCTTTTCAAAACTTTTCATTAGCTTTTTTAAAAAGAAATTATTAAAATAAAAGTACTTACCTTATCAGGAATATATTTTTCAAACTTCTCATTTTTGTTCCAGGAAATATTGATGAGGATGTTGTGGTGATTGAAGCATCCTCCACTCCACAGGTCACTGCCAATGAAGAAATTAATGTTACCTCAACTGACAGTGAGGTGGAGATTGTAACAGTTGGTGAAAGCTACCGGTAAGAGTTTATCTTATTTATGTAACATATATGTAAATAGAAATAAGTGGATGCAAAACTTTAGCATTCAGGATGCACACAACTAGACAAACAAATTGTTCATAGTTTGACAAAATTGAATTTGTTTGTGTTAATGGCATATTTATATTTAGAATTGAAATTAGAGTAATTTTTGCTAATCTTTTAATCATGACATAAATTAAATGTTTAAAGGATCTTGAATTCTCACTTTGTTCTGTTTATTTTCTTATTTGTCCTAGGTTTGACTTAACACTAATATGTTAGGGAATCTTAATTTTATAAATGTAACTTTTTTTTTTTAGGTTTTAAGGTACCATCAATCTTGAAATACTATTTTGTCATTAAGAATAAGAAAATGTGGAATATTAAGAAGTATGGGAAAATGTATATGAAGTACTGCAAAGAAGAAAAAAAGAACTAGAGTAAAGATTAGTAGATAATTTTAGGGTTTTTTGTTTTGCATTTTTTGTTGTGAGTGGTTTTAATTTTAAGGTTCTCTTTTAGGGGGCATAAATTTAAGTGAGTAATTGTTTTCACAAAAAGAAAGAAAACAATCATTAGCCTGGACAAAGTTTTAATAAGCTCCAAAATTTTAAAAATGAGAAATTCCAAAATTCAGAGTTAGACAGCAAATAAGGCATTTGGGTGAAGATGGATGAAGAGAGAAAGAAGTGTTATTATCATCTGAGTTTATCACAAATTATTTGGAAAGGAGAAAATAGATGAGAAGTTCAGGAAGCCTGTAAAGCCAGACTTACAGACATGGTAGTGATGGGGTGGGGTGGTATAGTAATCTAGAAGTCAGCTGTAATTACCTGCTTAGGACAGAGCAGCTAATAAATTCCTGGCTTGATTTAATGATCATTTCATCCTTTAAAAGGTGGAGGAACCTCTGAGTGAAATTACTATTTTAGATCTGATTAAAATCAACAAGAAAGAAATAGAAGTAGAAATGATAAAAAACTTGAGGGGATATAAGCACTCCATATTAAAATGAGTTTATAATGAAGGTGAGCCATGTATCTAAGGTTTTGGGAGGACAGATGTCAACATTTTCAGAGAAAAATAGAATCCTACAGATTAAAAACCTGATAAAGCAGTTAAACAAAACAACTGATGCAGAGACCATAGCTGATAGTGTATCCCTCTTTCTGACAGTGATCAGTTAGCATCTCTATAGAGATGATTCCCAAATCTGTATATTAAGCCCCAATCTCTCTCTTGAGCACCATTCCTGCATCACCACCTGCCTTTTGGACATCTTGAATTGAATTTCCCATAGGTGTCTTAAATTAAAATACTCTAAAGAAAATCATTATCTTCTCTGCTCCTCCAAATTCTTTCACTACCCACTTTCTTAGTACTGTTGATGGCACCACTATCCTCCCAGTCACCTAGACTCAAAATCTAGGTGTCTTCCTTGACTCCTCATTCCCTCTCTCATTAGTCATGTCTAATCTGTTGCCAAGTCCTGTTGATTCTACCTTCATAGTATTTTCCCTATGTATACTGTTCTTTCCATTCACATAGACACAATCCTCATTTAGGTCCTCATCACCTCTTTCCTGGACCATTGCTATAGTTATGTGGTTAGTTTCCCTGCCTTAACTCTCCTCATTCCAGTCAATCCATCCTTCACTCAGTTGCCAAAGTAGGTTTTTTAAAGTGAAGATCTGTAAACACCTTTTTTTGACACTGGGCTCTTAATGACTTTGCCTCTTCTTTTCCATGACTTTTTTTTTAATAGTGTTTTTTTTTCCCTAATTATGTGTAAAGATAATTTTTAGCATTCATTTTTATGAGATTTTTGAGTTTCAGATTCTTTCCCTCCCTCCCCTCCGCTCTTCCTTTTCCATGCTTTTTATTCTCCTCCACATGTTCCGTGTTCCAGCAACACTGACCTACCTGTAATTTCTGCATCAGGAACACTTGCATCTCTTTTTTCCCTTTCTTGAGTTTGTTCTCATTGTCCCCCACACCTTGGAAGGAAGGCAGGAATCATTTATTAAGCCCTTACTATTTGCCAAGTATTGTGCTAAGCACTGTGGATACAAATAAAAGCGAAAAGAAAGTTACTTCTCCTAAGAAGTTTTTGTTCTCTTGGGAGAAGACAATGCACTGAAGGTAACTCAAAAGGGAGTGTGGGGAGGATGAAAGGAACCAGTGCAAAGGGCATAGTTTTGAAGTCTAGAAGCCAAGAACAGGGTCAGAAGGGAAATTAAGGCCAGCCAGGATCCTGCCACAAAATGGAGGTTTGAGGAAGAACTCACTAATGGGAGATGGAGACATGCCTTATAGTGGGATAATCCATGTTGTGAAGGCCACAGGAATGGTCAGATGTTCCAAGGTGGGGAGACCCTAGGCTTTGAGGGAAGTTCCAGAATGAGACAGCATCGTTTGGAAGTCCAGAAACCTTAGAGAGCCTAGGGAGGAATGAAGGCTAGCCTCTTTACAAAATGGAGGCCCCTTCTTCTGCCTATTAGTTTCTGACTTCCTTGAAGTCTCAGCTCAAATAGTATTTATTCTAGGAGGCCTTTCCCTATTCCTTTACCTGGTAATGCTTTCTTTTCTCTTTTGTACCTTCCATCAACAGTCTTGTACCTCCCTAGCTGTTTACTGTTGTCTCCTCCCTTATCTCTTCCATTAGAATGTAAAATTGTTGAGGGCTGTGACTTTGGTTTTGCCTTTTTTTGTTTCCCTAACCCTTAGTATCCTTAGTACCAGGTCTATCATATAGTGAGTAGTTAATAAATATTTGTTGACTGATTTAATTTATGTTTCCACTGTATTATTTTTGAATGGAAAATAAATGTAAAGAAATATTTTATCATGTGGAGTTAAGTTTTTAGTTCAGTGTGTTGAAAACTGATAGTATCCAATCCTTAAAGGTCTTTATTTAAATGCAGAGCTTCTTTAAAGCTTGGACTATAGCTCTGGAACCAACAAACTGGCCATTATATTTAAGGCTAATATTAACTCTTCTGGGCCCCTGGATGTCAGTGTAGTTCCTACATGTGTTCTCTTATCTGTAAGCCAGGAGCTAGATGAGCCTAATTTTGTTTTCAAGTACCCTAGTTCTCAACCACTCTGACCGGTAGTGGTAAGAATACAAATAGTATTCTCCTTTCTGGAATCCTGAACCTTTATATGTATACCATTTTACCTATAGTGAATAAGTTTCAGTCATTAGCTATCATATAAATGTTTTATCAAAACCAAGGTGAATGTTTCAAGTAACAGTTGAATCTTTTCATCCCTTAAACCAAATATTGGTATGTCCTTACTACTGGTGAACTCAGTCATCGCATTTACTCTTTAGTGGATTTTGATTTTCCTTAGTCAAAGGTTTGGATCTTATTAGGGGAGGTTTTCTGGGAAGACCTTGCCTGGTAGAATTTATAAGGAAAAAGGGGCATTGAGATTTTTCAGTTTGAGCTTGTAAATCACATTAATTTCATCATAGTAAAATTTAATTTTTAAAGGTCTCGTTCATCAGTTGGACACTCCAGATCTCACTGGGGCCAAGGCTCAAATTCTCATACTACTCGGCCACAGGAGCCACGAAACCGTAGTAGAATTTCTACAGTTATACAGCCCTTGAGGCAGAATGCAGCAGAAGTTGTGGACCTTACTGTGGATGAAGATGGTAGGTTGGAATGGTGTCAGTACATTTATACATGAAAGGGAATGTGTTTGAGCTGAAAATTCCATTTATAAATTAGCAGAAATTTAGGCACATATTTGTAGTATGCAAAGGGGTTGTCATCTTTCCCGTGTATGTTATGATTGTATGTATGTTTGAGATAAAGACTGTACCCAAATTATGGACCAGTTGTGTATTGAAAGTTTATGTTGTAGGGATACTTCCTCTAGAAACAATGTTATAAATATTACTTTAAATTATGATAGGGATCCTTAAAATAAAACTCATGGTATAGATGAATTTTATAATATAGGAAAGAATACAGTTTTACCACAAGTAGTAGTTAAATAGAAAAATGAAATTAAATAGTTTATTTTTAATGCTGGTGTTTTAACATGTGGAAATTTAAATAAAAGGGAATGAAAAGGTATGTGGGAGTTTTGAAGAGATTTTTTAGAGGGGTACTTAATGATCATCTTCAAGAAATTACAAATGAACTTGGGGATATACCTTATTTATGAGCTGGGAATTGTGATTTGGGTTGGTTGGTTGGTTTGTTTTTCCTACTGCATTTGCCTTAATTTTGTCAAGTCAGCATTGCTAAACATTTACTGTAGGTAAAGCTGTTATGCTTAGAAAGATAGGATAGTAAAATGAAGGTAAACAAAGATAATGTTCTAGTGAGATGCAGTCTTAACTCTTCTTTCCTGACATTGTGTAACATTGTATATGAGTAGCAGAGACCTAGACTTCGGTTTTCTTTGCCTCCTCTCAATTGCGCTGCTTTGATAGGGCAAGGGAATTTGTGCCTGTTAACTGTGAACTGACTGTGGCCACCTATTTTATCAAGTATTTTGTCATAAAATGGAAGTCAGACATTTTTTACTCTAGTGATATTTTACTAATTATTATTAAGTATTGTTGATTATTAATATGGACATTCTTTTTATGATATTACTTCACATTTCCTATTAAATTTTTTACCCTCCCTGATTCCTTGTAGCACATAGAGTTAAATAAATCACTACATTGGCCATATCCAGAAATTTATGAATCATTCTTCACCAATAATTATCACTATACAAAATGAAGTTCTGGAATCTTTTTGTATTCATTTCCTTTACATTTTTGTTGTCATGCAAATTATTTTCTTGGCTCTGCTTATTTTGCTTTCTTTCATGTGATGTTATTGCTTAATTTTAGGGAATTTTTCTTTATCGTATGTCTGTCTACTTGTGCTTTGACAGAATTTATATCTCCTGAAATGGTATGTTTATATAACTAATCCTACTAGATATAAAGTTATTTAAAACATTTTAACTTACCTTTAACAAAAATTAAAACAATTTTTAAAAATTTGAAATAATAAATATTTTATGCTTTTTCTTAGAACCCACAGTAGTACCAACCACCTCTGCTAGAGTGGAATCCCAGGTTGTGAGTTCTTCCAATAACAATTCAAATGCATCTACCTCAGAGCAGGCCTCTGAAGCTACTTCAGCTGTCTCCAGTACCCAGCCCTCTGTAGTGTCAGAAACTTCTGCCCTTCCCAGCAATAGCTCTGCTGGTACTTCAACAGGAGGTATGTGAAATTCAGTATTTCTTTTTCAGCTTCTTCACTTTATTTTTTCAATAAAATTCATTCACTGATTTTATTAGTGAAAATATTGGCACTGTTTTAAGAAATTTTAGTCATGTCAGTATGAGACAGTTATTAGATTGGAACAGACTTCATTCTTGTTGAACAGTGGTTGGAAGTTATATTGGAATAGATTATTATTAGGGATTTAATGTTAAAGAATGTATTTTCAGCCAATGACTAAAATATTTTAGCTCAACTGATTCACTTTTGTCTTTTTGTTCACTTACTAAGAATTCCTGCTGCGTAGTAAATTCTTAATCAGTTCTGGTTATTAACAGAAGCATAATTTTCAACTCTCTTTAAGAAAATAATAATAATGGCATTTAAGAGTGTGCTTAAAGATTAAAGGGGAATTCTGGTCCATTAGCAAAAAATAAAGAGTCCTTAAGAATAGGTGTACTTCCATAATGCGAAAAGATTTGGTATTTCATACTGAGATATATAGTATAACTGGTTGTGAGTTGGAAGTAACCTGTGATTTCTTTGATTTAGGTTTTCCCTCCAGTGGTGCAGACAACCAGCCTTCCATGCACTCTATGCTGTGCAGTTTTTGTCTGTGTCTTCAGATAAATTTTCCATAGAGAGATCCCCCAAATATAATGGGGGAAGGAGTGTTGAATTTTAGTTTACATGGCATCATGAGGGCTATTCTTTACTTATCACTCAGTGTCACTACTTGACTGGCCTTCATTGTCAAGTATACGCCTTTTTTTTTTAAACTTTAGATTTATTTTTTTATTTTTAAAATTTACTTAGTATTTTATTTTTCCCTGATTACATGTAAAAACAGTTTTTGACATTCGTTTTTAAAACTTTTTGAGTTCCAAATTCTCTCCCTTCCTCCCTCCCCTCATTGAGAAGGCAAGCTATTTGATACAGGTTATACATGTGTAGTCATACAAAACATATCTTGATATTATTCATGTTGTGAAAGAAAACATATACCAAAAAAAGCTTAAAGAAAGTAGAAAAGTATGCTTCAATCTGTATTCAGACATCTGTTCTTTGTCTGAGATGGATAGCAATTTTCATCATAAGTCCTTCAAAGTTGTCTTGGGTCATTGTATTGCTGAGAATAGCTAAGTCATTCACAGCTGATCATCTTGTAATGTTGCTATTGCTTTGTACAGACTACGTTTCACTTTGCATCAGCTCATGTAAGTCTTTCCAGGTTTTTCTGAATGTATCCTGATCATCATTTCTTATAGCACAGTAGTATTACATCAGAATTACATAGCACAATTTATTCAGCCATTCCTTAATTGATGGGCATCCTCCCAATTTCCAGCTTCCAGCCACTGAAAAGAGCTGCTGTATTAATATTTTTGTATATCTAGGTCCTCTTCCCTTTTGTTTTTTATCTCTTTTTGAATACAGACCTAGTAGTAGTGCTGCTAGGTCAAAGGGTATGCATGGTTTTGTAGCCCTTTGTGTGTAGTTCTAGGTTGCTCTAAAGAGTTGAATCGTCTCACAACTCTACCAACAGTGCATTAATATCTCATTTTTCCCACGTCTCCTTCATCATTTTTCATTCTCCTTTTCTGCCCTACTACCTAATCTAATAGCTATGAGGTAGTAACTCAGAATTGTTTCAGTTTGCATTCCTCCAGTCAACAGCGATTTAGATCAGGGCTTCTTTAACTTTTTTCACTTGAAACCCCTTTTTGCCTGAGAAATTTTTACACCTGGGTATATAGGTATATATAATAGGTATACAAATCAAACATTTACTGATAATAAATCATAAGGAAATTTATTTCAAAACAATTATTTGGTATACATATAATTTTTACCAGTTTTTAAAGATGATGAAATCAAATTTGCATACTAATGAGATGGATTTGCTTGTTTATTTTTACGTAAATAATTAAATCTTGGTGGAATATTTGATACTGCAAGACATAGAACATCTTCAGCATTTTCCAGAGTTGATTGATATTTTGATTTTATAATCATCAGTGCTGAGAATGCTGCTTCGCATAAATACGTAGTACAAAATGGCAGAAGTATGTTTAGGGCCATTTTGGAAATTGTTGAAAATTCTTTTCTAATCCCAAGCCAGAATTCATTTAACAAATTTGTATGTACAATAAAAACACTTCAGGTCATAATATACAATAGTCTTGATCTAAGCTGAGGTGTTTCTGGCAGCATTGGTTGGTATTTCGTAGTGTGACAGCATATGTAGTGCAAAGTGTACATATTGTGTATTCAGAACCAGGGCTGCAGTGAAGTTGAGCGATGCAACACAGGCAAGCACTGCCAGAAACACCTCAGATTCATTACGTGTTTGATTTTGAAATAATTTTTGGTTGTTGTGCAGTCAGAAACCTTTTACTGTTGCCAAATTTTTCACAATCCCACATTCAGTTGCAAGGTGCACTGTCACCACTGCCCCCCTCCACCTCCCAGTTACAACTCCCAGTTCAAGAAGCGCTGCTCTAGAATATGTCCTTCTCAAATTGGTCTCTTGAGCCTTTATTGGAAGTAGCTCATCTAGACTACTTTAGTTTACCTGTTTTATCCTTTACTCAGGCCTCAGTACCCCTAAGTGCTAGTTTCCCTTTTTCTTTACTGCTTTTATATGGGCAGGGTATAACTTCAGGAAGCTTTGCTTCACTGTCTCGTGAAAACTTTTTTTGTTTATACAGGGTATTCAGCTTCTTTCTGAGCCTTCGTTGCTTTGTCAAATGCCCCTTAAATCCCCTATCTCATGATGCGTATCCTTTTCCCCTTATTCTGTTTACTTTGATCTCTGAAATTTTTTGTAAGGTGATGGGTATTTATGCCTCTATCTAGATCAGGGATTTTAAATTTGGGATACAGGGGGTCTTTGGATAAATTCAAGGGGCCATAAACTTGTATGAGAAAAAAATTATTTTTTATTTTCACTAACATCCACCTGAAGTTTAGCATTTTCTCAATTTTAAATTTTTAAAAATTGTTGTTCTGACAAGAGGTCCATAAGGCTTTGTCAGACTGCTAAGGGTTCAATGACACACAAAAATATGATTTATTGTTGAGTCATTTCAGTTATGTCCAGCTAGTTGTGACCCTGTTTTGGGGTTTTCTTGGCAAAGATACTGGAGTGGTTTTCCATTTCCTTCTCTAGCTCATTTTACAGATGAGGAACTGAGGCAGACAGGGCTGAGTTGCCCAGGGACACACAGCTAGTAAATGTCTGAGGCCGGATTTGAACTCTTCTTGAGTGCTTTTATCCACTTTCCCAGCTAATTGCACTCAAAAAAGTATAAGAACTCCTAATCTAGAACCTTCTATCTTCTCTCTCCCCTGCCTCCAGTTTTCCTCTTTTTCTGTTTTTGAATTGATTTTTTAAATCTGTTTTTTGCTTTTAGCCCTTTTTAATGTAGCATTTAATGATGAGAGAAGGAGAGAGAGAAGGAAAGAGTGAGAGTGCTTTTCTTTGGTGCAACTTGCTTTCATTAGACCACTTTTTTAAAAGGATGCTACAGGGTGTTACTCTGCTGGTTCCAGCATGTTCACAGATTCTGAATTTCCTTCTCTCTGAAAGGTTGGAGTTTGTAGCAAAATTTTCATGCTGAATGTATGTTGTAAGCAAGTTATTTTCTACCTGTAGACATTTGGTAGTTATTCTAATGGTTAATAGACATCTATTTATAGAATTAAATATAAATGTCTGTTTATAATAATTCTTAGGGAATGGCAAAATTGAATTAAATAGAATAAAAGAGATGTAAAAAAAATTATAGTCTGAAATATTGGCTTTTGTTACCTTTTGAAATAGTGAATTCCACATTATTTTTTCTACATTAGCAAACATTTTTTTTTCTCTCCCATCTTGCTATCCCTTGGGCAACCACTGAGGAAAAAGACTTTGTCTTTTGCTTAACTTTTTTTTGCCCTCCAGATTCTTTTGAGTCTAATAAGCAGTATATTGCTTAGAACACTTGGTACTCAGAACAGCAGAGTATTTAAGTCATTATACCAGTGATTTATGGACATTTAGCTTTTAAACAAATGTAATCCATAGAGTAAAGTCTGAATTGAATAAGAATTTAATTTAATATCCTTAACTTTGGTGTGTCTGCTTTAATATGGAGAAAACAAACAACAGGCCTCTTTTATTCTTACCAAATTACTCTTATCAAATCCTGAGGGCCACTGTCTTAGATCATTGTAATCCTGAGAAAAACTGAGTCATTCGTAGTTGATCATCACATGATGTTGATGATACTGTGTACAATGATTTCTTGGTTCTGCTCATTTCATTTTGCATTTGTTTGTACAGGTCTTTCAGTTGTTTCTGAAATCTGCTTGTTTATCATTTCTTATTGCACAGTAGTATTCCATTGCATTCATATACCACAACTTGTTTAGGCATCCCCTCAATTTCCAGTATTTTACCATCAATTTCCAGTATTTTACCATCACAAATAAGGCTGCTATAAGTATTTTTTACACTCGTAGATCCTTTTCCCTTTTTTATAATCTCTTTGGGATACAAACTAGTTGGATCAGATGCTATGCACAGGTTGGTTGCTGTTTGGGCATAGTTCCAAATTGCTTTGCAGAATGATTGGATCAGTTCTCAACTCCACCAGCAGTACATTAGTGTCCCGATTTTCCCACATCCTCTCCAACATTTATCATTTTACTTTTTTGTCATATTACCCAATCTGATTGGTGTGAGGTGGTATTTCAGAGTTGTTATAATTTGCATTTTTCTAATCAAAAGTGATTTAGAGCACTTCTTCATATGCCTGTAGATACCTTTGATTTCTTTATCTGAAAACTGCCGGTTCATATCCTTTGACCATTTATTGTTTTGGGAGTGGTTTATATTCTCATAAATTTGACTTAGGGCAATACACTGGTGAGGTGGTAAAGGAGAAAGAGAACAAATAGGAGGAAGAATAGGATGGAGGGAAATACACAGTAGTAATCATAACTTAGTGAATGTGAATGGGATGAACTTTCCCATAAAACAGAAGCAGGTAGCAGAGTAGATAAAAAAAAACAGAATCCTACAATGTATAGCTTACAAGAAACATGCTTGAAGCAGAATATATTATACTTCAGCTGAAATTTAAAATGCAAAAAGCAGGGATAGCAATCCTGATCTTAGACAAAGTAAAAGCAAAAGCAAACCTAATTAAATGAACAAAGCATTTTAAGAGAGGCCAGGACAAGGAGTCCAGATTGACATACAGAGTTGTCTAGTCTAGTGTGTCTTTGGGCAGCAAGAGGTTGTGCTATATTAGTTATATGTTTAAGGCCCTGAAGTTTCCTGGTAACTGCTTTGAGCAGCAGATAATTTTTTTTATACATTAATTTTTAAAATGTTGAGTTCTAAATTCTCTCTCTACCTCCAGCCCCTTCTCCACCCATTGAGAACATGTACAATATGATACCCATTATAAATGTGAACTTATGTAAAGCATATTTTTATATTAGCCATGTTGCACCTTTCTCTCTTCTTGCCCCTCCCCCCACCATGGAAAAAAAAGAAAGTGAAAAAAATTGTTTTAGTGTGCACTCAAATTCATTAGGTCTCTCTGTGGAGGTGGATAGTATTTTTAATCATGAGTCCTCTGGAATTGTTGTGGATCATTGTAGCCAAGGCTTTCATAATTGATCATCGTTATACTATTGCTGTCACTGTGTATAGTGTCCTGGTTTTGCTCACTTCACTTTGTATCAGTTCATTTAAGTCTTCCCAGGTTTTTCTGAAACAATCCCCATCATCATTTCTTACAGCACAGTAGTATTTCATCACAGTCATACACCACAACTTGTTAAGACGTTTCCCGGTTTATGAGCTCCCCCTCGTTTTTCAATTGGCAATAGTTCTAAATAGTTTAGGTTAAAAGTGGATTTTGGAAATCAGGTAAGCTGGGAAGGATCGAGAAATAAATTTCCAGTAGAGAATTTACACAGGCAGAGATGAGAACATCCAAGGAGGCAAGAGTGTAGAAAGGAATATGGTATCCAGGTCAAAGAATCTAGCCTAGTAAAGGCTGGATAAAATGATCTAGACCCAGAGATACAGGCCTAAAGTTATTATAGGAGTTCAGAATGTTTGGGAAGGTTCGAGCAGATAAACACCAAGGGACAGTACTAACAAGACAGACTGTTACATTGGGATAGAAGTTATCTTCCTTCTTTCCTGGTTTATGTTCCCTATCTACTTTGTGTATACAAAGGTTCAGTGATGAGAAATGGCAAAGTGAGTATTTTTGATAGCAGCAGAACTAGGTCTTTGGATGAATTGTCTGTCTCTTTTAAGTTTGTGGCTGACCCAGTATATGTCAGGGGTTATGTGTTTTGGACACCAGGCACAGCAGCCTTTACTATGAGGGATATCTTCACAGTGAAGATGTGCATGCTGCATTGAATTTTATTTGTATAAGGCATAACTGCTTGATTTACCCTAATGGAGGAAGAATTCCTTGGTGTTAGCCATTTGTCCCCAAATTCTTTTTTTTTTTTTTGTAGGCACTGGGGGTAAGTGACTTGCCCAAGGTCACACTACTAGTAAGTGTCAAGTATCTGAGGCCGGATCTGAACTCAGGTCCTCCTGACTCCAGAGCCAGTGCTCTATCCACTGTGCCACCTAGCTGCCTCCCCTAATTTTTTTTTTCCCCTCAGCTTTATTATTCCTTCCTCCTAACTTCCAGTGTGGAAACAAATAGGAGATAATATTCTCATCTTTGAAAAAAATGAGTTACCTACCATTAAACATTTTTCAGAATGTCTGTTTTTCTGAAGCGTGCTTTCACCAAAACTATCCTATGGGCATAAGGTTTGATATACAAACAAAATAATTTGCCTATTAAGAGTGTTGTAATTCTGTCATGATTTGTCCTTGGCTTGAAAAGTTGAAAAGCAGGAGTCCTCAAACTTTTTGATCTCCAGATACATTCTTAAAAATTATCGAGGATGCTCCTCCCCCCAATAACTTTCATTTATTGGGTTATGTCAGTTGATGTTTCTCATAATAGAAATTAAAATGTATTAGTATTATAAAAATAATTTTGACTTTGAGGACCCCCAAAACAATTCTCAGCAACCCCTGGAGGTCAATACCACTAATTAAAGATGACCCTAGTACAGATTTTATGTCAGCTAATATTGTCTGAAACTAGCCAAGTTTGGAGAGACCTGTCATGAAGGTGGCTGCTGGGGTTGAATTTCTTTTTTGGCCATGGCAACTCTTGATCATCTGATAAATTGTAAAAGCATTATTATCTCCATAATTTGATTATTTTAATGAATTATTAGTAGTATTCACTAAACATTTTTTAGTCAGCTAATTCTTCAACTATCACTTTTTGTTTCATGGTGATATCTGGCTATTATTTAACAGTTATTTTATGCATTGTTTTTTTGTTTCAAGATGATATAAGGAGAACCACATCTAGTGCTGTAATGGAGACTGGCCCTCCTGCAATGCCAAGGTTACCTTCATGTTGCCCTCAGCACTCACCATGTGGAGGGTCATCACAAAATCTCCATGGAATAGGGCATCCCCACACAAGTTGTTTTCAACAGCATGGACACCACTTTCAACATCATCACCACCACCACCATACTCCTCACCCTGCTGTTCCAATTTCTCCTTCGTTCAGTGAGCCTAGTTGTCCCGTGGAAAGACCTCCACAAGTGCAGGCACCATGTGGAGCAAGTAGTAGTTCTGCTACCAGCTACCATGACCAGGTATGTATAATTTGTTAACAGTTACTTAATTTTGTTGAGAAGTATAGAAGCTTTCAAAAAATGATTGCTCCCATGTTTTCATATATTACATAGTTATGAATTAAATTCATACAGTCCATACCATAACTGCTTGCAGTGTGAACTTTTTGATTGGTAATTTAATTCAACAAAGATTTATTATTCTTTTTTTTTTATTTGTAAAGCACTATGTTAAATGTTAGGGATATAAAGACAAAAATGAAAAACAGTCCTGAGCACTGAGTTTCTGTTCTACTGGATTATGACTTAGAGTGTCTATCATCTTTGAAGTTATTTTTTAAAAAGTAGCATTGTACAGCCACAGTTGAATTTGAACCCAGATTCTTTAAGTTAACTCTTTTTTTAACCTTTAAAATTTATTATTTATGCATTTTTGGCATTTTTTTTTTAATTTTGAGTTCTAAATTCCCTCCCTCACCAAGAAGACAAGAAAAATTATACCAATTAATTATACATGTGAAATCATACAACACATATTTCTAACTTGACCCTTGAGCTAATATTCTTTCCAGTATACCTAGGTTACCTTCTAAAAACCACCACAGTTTTTTTTCAGTGATGACAAAAAGTAACTGAGACGAACATGACCACAGACTTTTTCTTCGTTCTGTATTAAACTGGGTGAAACACGCACACATATGCCTGCTTGCACATGCATTCGCGCAGAGACATACACACACTCCATAATAATGGAGTGTGTGTATATAGCATCAAAAGAACAAATTTCAGGAGGGAAAAATATAACTGTGCCAACAGAAGGCTAAAAACTTTAAAGTGAAAAAACAAACTCAAAAGCCATTAATTTGGGGGGGATTGGAAGGGTCAGGGACACTGATCTGTCTGTCAAATAAACATTTAAGTTCCTACCATCTGCCAGGCACTGTACTAAGCACAGGAGATACAAATATAATAAAGTCCCTTTTTTCAAGGACCTTAACAGTCTTATGGGGGAGGATAGCACACGAAAGGAAGCTGAAAAGGGGAGAGGAGGGTAGAAGCAGGGACACAAGTTGGAGGCTAGAGTTGGGGTAGAAGGTGATAAAGTCCAGTCACGGGGGTGCAAGGGAAATGAAGAGGGGTTTGGAGTCCTCTTTAAATAGAAACTTTAGCAGGTCTTTGTCCTACAGTCAGAGGGGCAGAGTGCTGAGCATAGTGATGAGGCATGTGTACCAAAGCCAGTGTAGTCTCAAAGGACCATCCATTTCCTGATGAGAAGATTTCTGGGGGCACAGTGGAGTCCAGTCCAAGGGCAGCTGGTGGGAAATAAAGACATGGGATGTCCTTGGCAGAGAGACCCCCTTGGTGAGGCGCGTACTCTGCCATAACAGATGACTTGATCTGCACTTAACACCTCAGACAGTTACCTGAAGCACCCTGAGAGGTTCAGAGAATTACCCGCAGCCACTCTGTGTCATCACTACTTTTTCATATAATCTCATTGTCCTTCCCAAAGTGTCTTCTTTGGTATTTTTTTCCTTTTTATAGCTATTTTCACTAATTTAAGAAATATTTATTAAATATATACTATGTGCGAAGCACCTTGCTGGGCACTAGAGCTACAAAGACAAAAAACAACAGTAGTCTCTGACCTGAAAGAGTTTTATTTGCCTCCCTCCTGCCATTTCTCTTCATAGGCAGCATGTGGGATAGAGGAAGCAATATTGCAGTAAAGCAAAAGGAAGATAATTCAGATACTCAAGCAGAAAACATTAAAAGGATGGAGAAAGGGGACTCATTTGGTAGGAGTTTTTTAGATCCTAGATCAGTTATGCTTAAGTTACATTAACCCAGAGAATGTAAGAGCTACCCTATTTATGATAGCAAGAAAGTCACAACAGGAAAGTTTTTCAGATCCTGCTCTTAACCACCTGAGACTATTTACAGGTTTAGACTTGTATTAGAAATCAAGGGTTGAAGGAGAGTATCTAAGTATAATGGTGCCCAAAGAACCAATGGAAAGACAGATTTATCTTTATGTTTCAGTGTCTAGGATTTGGGATTGGGACCATTTGTTAAATGCATGACAGTGGTGTTTAAACATTAAAGAACTGTTCTGTTGATTTTCTCTCTCTTTTTTTTAACATCACTGTCAATTTCCCAGTTACAGTTCCACTCCCCAGTAGAACTCTTCCTCTTAACAAAGATGTACACAGCTAAACAAAACAGATCAATACATTAGTCATGTCTTAAAACATAAAACATTCATGCTCTAATTGAAAAGTGGAAAGCATCTGTCACCAACAGATGCTTAAATCATAAGTCACCTGATTGATTAGAGTGCTGATGCCTTTCAGTGATTATGTTTTCCTTTATATTTTTATGATCATAATATAAAGTTTTCTCTTGGTTCCTTTAAAGTACTTGGATCTCTAAATCAGTTCACCCAAATCCTCCTGTCATCTTAAATTCTTCATATTTCTTTCTTATGGTGAATTCTTCCATTATACTCCAATACTGTAATTTGTTCAATCATCCTCCAATCCCATCTACTCTATTTCTAGTTCTTTGCTACCTTAAAAAGTGCTGCTATAAATGTCTCTGTGTATTTGAGACCTGTTAGCGTGTTGATGGGTTTTTTAAAGCTGGCTAAAAGACCAAGTTTTACATGAAGTGGTTTTTTTTCTTTTCAAATTTTATTGATGCCCTTTTATACTACTCATTTCTCCATTTCCCCTTCCACTGCAATAATTATTACCACCATTTAGCCTTTGTTTGTGAAAGAAAACCCATTAAACAAAACTGTTGGACATAACTACCATTTCTGAATGCTTCCACAATATTGCATAAGCATGGTTTACTGCATCATACATCATGGTATTATATCTTTAGATTTGGAAGGGAACTCAGAAGCCATTGAGTCCAGCTCCTTTATTTTGTAGTTGAGGAAGCCGAAGCTTATGTAAGTTGCTCACAGTCATGCAGCTAAGAAGTATCTAAGGTGTGCTTCAGACCATGCCTTTCTGACTGTCCAGCATTTCATCCACTATGCTGTGCTGCTTCTTTGATGAAAGGAGAAAAATGCATTTTATAATCTTTCCTCCAGAACTTAGATGCATTTAGTCTGAATTCAGCTTGCTTAAGCATTGTTTTCCTTTACATTCTTGTAGTCACTGTGTACATTCCTCCTCCATCTTACTCTTTTCACTCTTTATCACATCATACAAGTATTTGAATCCATGTTTCTATGAATACTTCATATTTGCTGTTTCTTATAGTGTTAAGATATTTCACTATATCCATGTATCATAATTTGTTCAGCCATCAAGATTAACCATAGGTAAAATTCTTTTTACTATTTTATTGAATGATGCAAATGCAGTTTTTATATCGGTCTCTATGACAACAATATTGACAGTGTTGAAATTTCCTAACTTGCTATATGTCCAGAAGCGACAAGAAATACATTTCATAGAACATTTGATAATCTCGTTGCTGTAGTTAGAATAATTTTTGCAGATAAATAATTACAGCTTTTACTTCTATGTATACCTTTCCCTTTGGGGTATTATTTGAATTATGTATACATGAGTATGAGAGAGAGAGAGAGTATATGAGTGAGATTTTTTGCAGAATAGTTGGATAAAAGATATGGATTTCTGCAGAGGCAAGCCATCTGAGAACATTGAAATTATGGTTAAATTTCAAAATGAAATCTAGCCCAAAATTTTCAGTTCTGGGCCCAGCTCATTCTATCTGTAGTTCTTAGCCAAGAAGTACACATTGATGCTCTGATTCTGTAGATTATCCAACTGCATATCAAATTCTGGGCAAAAAATGTTTTCATCTTTGTTTTAGAACTTATCTTTTCTTCAGCACTGTAGCCTTCCCTGCCGAGGAATTGTAGTGATTTTGAGATTGAAACTACGTTTATGAATAGGAGCCATTTGATTCAAAGGATATGAATAGACAGGTTTCAAAGGAAGAAGTACAAGCTATGACTAATAATTAAAGAAATACAAATTAAAGCAACTGAAGTTCACCTATAAGATTGGTGAAAATAACAAAAAAAAAGATGACTGTTTTTTGGAGATGTTGTGGGAAAATAGATAAACCAACATACTGCGAGTAGGGTTTTGATCTAAAGTAACTTGGAGCTATGCCCAAATTTCTTGGCCAGTTACTAGACACATGATAAATACTTGTTGATTGGTTATTGATTAAATTTTCCATTCTCTTGATTTGATGCATTTATATATATACGTGTGTGTGTGTGTATACACACACACACACACACACACACACACATATATCACTTTAGAAAATTTTTAATAAAGTTGCATGTAAAGTGTTAATATTTTGAAGTATTTTGCAAGGATCATTTGGAAACATAGTTCTGTTTTATACAGCAGGCTTTACCAGTAGACCTGAGCAACAATGGTATCAGAAGTCATGGAAATGGTGGCTTTCATGGAGCATCTGCCTTTGATCCTTGCTGCCCTGTTTCTTCTTCACGAGCTGCAATTTTTGGCCACCAGGCTAGTGCTGGCCCAAGCCAGCCAATTTCAGTGGATGGTTATGGATCAAGTGTGGTTGCACAGCCTCAACCCCAGGCTCCTCCACAAGCCTCCCTTTCGTCATGCCGACATTATATGCCACCCCCTTGTAAGTATAGTTATAACTGGGCGTATTTACGTAGACATATTTTAATCATAGTAATACATTTCTTGTATACTCTATGGAATTGTTTATTCAGTATTTACTTACCATATTCTTGAGTCCTAACTTAATTAAAAAAAAAAACACCAAACCTGTCAGCTAGAAGATTCAGATGATTCAGGAAAATGTAAGAAAAGTAAAGTGTTAGATGGTAGTTCACATTTTGAAAACTGGTATTTACATATCTTTAGAGGGCAAAAAGCTTTTTTTAAGTGAGGCAGTTGGGAATAAGTGACTTGCCCAAGGTCACACAGCTAGGACATGTCAAGTGTTTGGTCTGAGGCCGAATTTGAACTCAGGTCCTCCTGACTTCAGGGCTGGTGCTCTATCCACTGCGCCACCTAGCTGCCCCCAAAAAAGTTCTTTATGTACATCTTCTTATTTGAGTTTCACAATCTGCTGGGCTAGATGCTACAGCTTTTATTCCCTTTTTACTGATGACTAAATTGACACTTGGGGAAGTTGCTTACTTGCTTGTGGTCGTGGTGGTATTAGTATCTGAGACAGGGTTCAAACTCAAGTCTTTCCTGACTCCATGTTTAGTATTCTATCCAGTATGTGGTTCTGTTTCTCATACATGAAAATAGGTTTGAAAATTTTTAAGTTATCCCATAATTGAAAATATCGTTCTTCATCTAAGGTATGTGAAAGAAGAAAAGACTTGTTGGTCATTTTTTCCTATTTTGAAAATAAGATATTTTTCACTTACTAAAGAAGTGATATGCAAGTAAAGATGACTTGTCACATATGGAGTAACTTTCAAGAAACCAGAAACAATTTAAAAAATCTTTGTTAAAGCCTCCATTAGTTATCAAAGTAGTTTAAAATCTCCACTTTTCTAAAACTTGAAGGGATTTCCTTGTCAACCATTATTGTTATGTAATAGATTTTAAAAATATTCTCATTGGTTGATATGTTAGTTATCATTGCTGAATTATTTTCCTTTTCCCCCTCCTTGTTGGGGAGGGGAGAAATAGAGAAATTTAGGTGATTTTAAAATAAAAAATATCAGTTAATATAGTTAAAATAAGTATTTTAGCCTTTCCTATATTTCTTCAGTCAAAAGACCTCCTAAATTAGGGCGTGTATGTGTTCTGTCCCCATGATATACCGGGGGCAGTGATGGTTTTTATCTAGATTTTTACTCTTTTTTCATCTTTAAAATTCAGAAAAGTCTGTGGGAATAAAAGAGAGTGACCCCTTTTCTCTTCCTATCATCAACCAACAGGTCATCTCTACTCTGAAGTTGAGGGAGGGAAAGAAGGATAATTAATTGCCCAAAAGGATCATGTTCCACATCTAGCCCCATCCTACATCTACTCTCAAAACAAAGAGTTATAGTTCCAGTTTTATGACCAGGAATTTTCCTTCCATAGTTTATATCTCTTATCACAAAATGAAAAATCTCAACTGGAGGCCTTTTTTCTACTCTTAGGTCATTCCATATTCTTGATGGGACTATACTGTCCTTAACTCCCTACCTAACTCCACTTGATCTTAGTTTCTTAGCATTCTAGTATCCCTTTTTTCCTAGTTATTATTAATTACTCTCATCTGGAAAACTTACCATGTATTTTCTTGAAAAAAATGTCCTTAACCTTCTGGTAACAATCTACAGCCAAAATTTCTCCCTTTTTCACCTTTCTTCCCTTTGCCAAAAATATTGTAATGCTCCTCTGGCTTTTACCAGCTTGATTAAATGGAGATTTTTTTTCCCCCTAAAGGATATCACAGCTAGATAAAGACTCAAAACCAGCCAAATGTATTCCACTGCTCTCTTTTTCCTTGAGCCTTTTTGAGATTCACCACTTAGGGAATTCTTGACATGAACTAGCTAGAGCATGCATTCTGCAGAATGCAGTAAAGCTACCAACTCTCCCAACTACCTCAGCTCTGCTGCTTAGTGGAACATCAGTTACCTCATAGATGCATTTCCGTACTAGATGACTCTCTGGTCTATCTTCTCTTCTGTACTTTTTTACCTCTTTTGAAAAGGAACGAATGTTCGTTGTCAGGGGAGAACATCAAATGAGATGTCTGATAATATCCTCATGAGGGCTACATTGCATAGTTGTACCAGACACCACTAAATCCTAATGGCTTACCCCTAAGCAGTAGGCTTCATAATTAAAGATGCTAGTGGTAAAGCTATCAGCTCTCCCAGCTTAAATCATTGCTTCTAGAAACAATAAGTTCAACTTTACTCCCTCCTAGACCATCAGGTGTTTCATGGATGCGTTTCAGTGCTAGAGAATTCTGTGGGCCTATAACCAGAAACTCTACCAGGTTGACTTCATTGCTTCCTAAGCTCTCAGTTGTCCCATGTACATGATTTAGTAGAAGAGAGTTTACATAGTTTCTCTTGCTAGTTATCTGTAGACATCAGTATGTCCCAACAGGCTCATTTAAGAATTACTTAAATAACCCTAGATAACCTCCTCGTGCCCTAAGCCTTCAGGAACTCCACTAACTCGACTTACATGTGTGGCAGTAGCCATAGGTACTAATTACCATGACTAAATATGAACATGGTTTGTAGGGAAATCTTAGAAATAATTTTTAGGCAAGAAAAGTGAATTAAACTTATTGGTTTAGTTAGGATTTCTTTTTTGAATGAGCCTATAATAAAGTTTAGCCAGTAGTCCTGGAGAGTGTCGGGGCAGGGGTTAGAAGAAACAAGACCCCAGGAGAATTAATGAAGCCTGAGGCAGAACTCAAAGGACGAGGACAGCCAAAACGAGAAAAAGACTGTTAACTAGCCTGCCCTTCCCCTGTGACCCTGTTTTATTGCCTTCTTCACTTAATAAAGCAAACTATAACCAGAAACATTGCAGGTGTTATCTATAAGCATATAGAGTTCCTCATTAGTCTTCTTTTCATGCTAATCAAAACAATTCTTGTCCAAGATACTGCCTCTTATTCTTGAAGGTGTGATTTTGTGCTTGGGATCTGTAGGAGACATATGATATCAAACATGCTGAAATTGACTATTCCACTGCACCACCTAGCTGTCTCTGGCACTTGGTGCTGAAAATGGTGCTGTTTGACCTGAACTTTGAAGGAAAATAGAAATTATAAAAGCTGGAGGTGAGAAGGACATCCGTTCCAGGCACAGAGGACACATTGCAGCAAAGGTACAGAGAGTTAGGCGGTGAATGAGAGGATAGCTAAAGGATGATATCTTGAGGGGGATTTAGGTTCAGGTGAGGTTTTTTGAAGGATAGGTAGATTTGTACATGTTTGCAGGGAAGGCAAGCAAGAAAAGAATCAGTAGATGGGCTTGATGATTAGAGAAAGCAGATCTGATTGAAGTGTTAGCCTTGGTAAGAAGGGGTTTTTCATTGGACACTGGAGTAAAAGAAGAGAGAATGGGGGACAATGTTAAGGAATTTTAAGATTTTAGTGTACTATGAGGAGAATAGAGAGTTCATAGTTAATACTAGCCTTTGTTTTTTCAGTAAAGTGTGAGGATAGGTCTTCTGCTGAGAATATGGGCAAACACAGCAGTGATATGGGAATCAAGGAATTCATGATTTTGTGCTTGGAAAGAAATTTGCAGTGATGGGAAAAGGGAGAGGGGGATTTGAAAATAAAGGACTATAACAATGGACAGGTTAACTTAAGAGGATTAGAGACTGAAAAGGAAGAAAAGTGAGGCTAGACCAAGGGTAAAAGCATTAGATCGTACTGAGGGATGGAGAGACTAGTTGTCATGGTAAAGAAGAATTGTTGTTTCTGTTTGTCCTTTGTTCTTTAAAGAGCCATGACATCAGGGAGGTGATGTCATGGCATGCAAGTGAATTGGATTTAAGTGAGGGAAGGCTGTGCAAAGTCACTGGTCTCACTTTCTCTTCCAGAGCCATCTGGGTCCAGTGGCAAGATATAATCAGGATGACTGGAGATGGCCCCCAGTAAAGAAGAATAGTTTAAGGAGGAGTGAAGCATAGAGAGGGATGAAATCTTAAGAAGTTACAATCACATAAAGTATTTTCAGAATTCTTGATCATGGGAGTAGAACACTTGAGTGTGATGGCAAAGATCAAGAGTGCCCTGTGTGTGACTGAAGTGGAATGGAAGAACCATCATCAGTGTGTATGGTGAAGTCTCCTATTATCAGGGCAGGGGTTAGGATGGAGAGGAAGTCTAAGCCAGTGCTTGAGAAGAGAGGGAAATCATCTGGGAGCTAGGAGATAACTGCTTCCAACAGTTTTTACTTAGCTAGTGCTTTAACAAGCAAATTATAAAAGTGATACCTTACAGAGCTAAACAAAATAATTCATTTGGAAAAACAAGAGATCTAAAATATACTGTGAAATAGTGAGAAAAGGTAGGAATGAAGAGAGAATAAGTACTTCCAGAATTCAAACTGTATTATAAAGCAGGAATCTTTAAAATCATGGTACTGGTTAAAAAATAGAGAAGATGAATGGAAGTTGCTCAGCAGACATTTATTAAGCATATTGAATATGTGCCAGACACTACTGGTGGTAGGAAAAAATGTAAAAATATGGTCCCTGGTCTTAAAGTGCCCACATTCCAGTTGGGGAGACTACATACATGGGAGGTAATCTCAAAGGGAAGGCACTAGCAATGATGTGGGGAGGAGAGGGATGACACTGAAAAGTCTTTTGCAGAGACTGGATTTAAGCTGAACTTTGGTGGAAGCCAGTAGGCGGAGGTGAAAAATTAGACCTAATTAAGTTTAATAACCTAGTGTTCTTTAAATCCCAAAACATAAATTACCTAAGAAAGAATTCTCTTAGTAATATCTGCTGGGAATGCAAGGATCTAAGACAACTCGGAAAGACTCATGATGGAAAATGCTATCCACATCCAGAAAAAGAGCCATAGAATCTGAATGCAGATGGAAGTATACTATTTGCGGTCTCTCTTTTTTTGTTTCTTCTTTCTCATGATTCTTCCATTGGAGAATAGCCTATATCAGATTGCACTCTGCCTTGGGGAGGGGGAGAAAATTTAGAACTCAAAATCTTCTGGAAGTGATTGCTGAAAACTAACAATAAATAAATAAATAAATTTTTAGAAATGTTATCTGCTGGGAAAACTGGAAAGCAATATGACAAAAAAATAGGTTTAGTCTAGCTTCTCATACCATATTCCACAATAAATTCAAAGTGGATTGGTGTACTTTAATATTAAAGATTATACATATTTCAAGTAGACAAGATCCATTTCTCTGCTATACAATGGACCAGGAAAATTTAACCAATAAAAATATACAAATTTAAATATTATAAGAAAAAGTTGAACAGGTTAGTAAAGCTAGAATGACTCAGTAAATAGTTTTTCACCATAAGATAAGGGTTTTCAACCTGATGATCTTTAACAGTCTCTTCCAGTTCTAAAATTGTATGATTATATCTTTTGTATCCTTTAGTCTAATGTAGGCCCAGCTCCTCACCGTCCCAAGAATACATACTCACTTTTCTTCTTCTGCCTTTGCTTATCTAGTTAACTTTACCTGTAATTCTCTTCATCTTTTAAAAAGCCTTAAAGTCCTTCAAACCTGATTCCACTCACTTCTTTGAATCATTCTGTGACTGTTCCTCTTGTTATTGACCTCTTATTCCTCAGCACTTACTGTCTATACCATACAATTCAACTTATTTATTACTTTGTTTTCTATGTTCATCTTGTGTACCCAATTATATCATCAGTTTATTAGTCATAGGGAGCAACTTCTGTATCAACCCTGTTAACCCTTCGCATGTGCGCATGCACACACACACACACACAGCCTCACCTACTGTGATTGTGAGAACCTAGAGGCAGCTAGGAGACTCAGTGAAAAGAGTACTACCTTTGGAGTCAGAAAAATCTAAGTTCAAATCTGACTTCAGACACTTACTGGCTTTGTGACCCTCAGAAAACCACTTAAATGCTATCTGCCTGTTTCCCCAGCTATAAAATGAGGATAAGAATAGTACCTACCTCCCAGGGTTTTTGTGAGGAGCAAGTGAGATAATATTTGTAAAGCTAATACCACAGTATCTGGCACATAGTATGTACTTTTTTAAAAGAAAAATCCTTGTCATCTGTCTGTCTAGCACATTGATTGACCAGTGTCACAGTATTTAGTGAAAAGGATAAGGAACGTGGAGTTTTGTCCCAGTTCTCTTCATTAGTGATCTTTAATAACCCTGTGCCTCTCTATATCCCATTTGATAATTCAGGGCATAACTATAAAGCTGTCCAGCTCACTTTTATGTATAGCTTATTGAATCAGAGGGAAAATTATTATAGTAGGGATACATTGTAGAATGTTTCACTTTTTAGCAGAATTACTTTAAAGATTGTCCAGTCATACATAATGACTGCTGTGGCACATGGAAGGGTAAATTTCATGTTGGAACAAAAATAAGGCTTAAAGGGAGAAAATAGCAAAATATCTTGGGAGGGCAGTAAGGGAAACCAACTTGATTGTAACAAAGGATGAGCACAGTGGCATATTGGTAAATAAAGATTGAAATAATACCAGAGGGGTACTAGAGTGTGAAATAGTACCAAAAAACCTTAAATGGTGAAAATTGCCCTTAATATAGGATATAAAATTGAAATCTATTAAAGTTAATATGAAATTAAATCTGCAGGTAAAGATACATTTTTAAAAAACTTTGGAGGACAAAGTTGCCTAGATTTTTTGAATTGCATAAAAAGTGTAGAGAGTGTAGGATAAAGCGAAGGTAATAAGTGTTTACATAATACCTACTATGTGCCAGCACTATGTTAAGCACTTTAAAAATTTTTACAAATATTTAATCTTCACAACAGCCCTGCAAGGTTGATGCTGTTATCATTCCTGTTTAACAGTTGAGAAAACTGAGGCAAGCAGAAGTTAAGTCACTTGTTCAGGTTACAGAGCCTGTAAATGTCTGAGCCTGGATTTGAACTCATCTCGCTTGACTATCCAGTTCTAGTGCTTTATCTGCTGTGACACTTAGCTGCCAACAATTACAACAACAACTGACATTTGTATCAAAGTTGAAAATTTGCAAAGTTCTCATATACAGTCTTGAATCAAATAGGTCTTTTAGGCATTTTTATCTCTATTTTACAGTAGAGTTGCTGAATATCTGAAAAGATATATATGGCAACTTACCATATGACTGTCTTGCAGATAAGTGTCAAGAGACGAGACAAGACTATGTTGATATTAAGTCTATTCATTCACTGGATTGGGTGAAATGTTGAAAATATGAGAGAATCAGCTCATTCAAATGCATCTTTGATGACAATATTTAGATAATGAGTTTTATGGTATCACAGGAAACAAAGTGACTTTAAATTCTGTAGTGGGAAAATTCTGATATCTTAGGGAATCCAGATGGCTTGAATGTCAAAATCATAAATGAAGACAGTGTTGATATATTTGCCTGACATCATTGACCTCATTCACATAGTTTTATTCCCCAAGCTAGTGAAAAATAATCTAGAAATTGTGAGTTTCTTAGAGGCGTGAGTTTCCCTTTGAGACTTTCTTTGTGATATAAAAGAAATGAACTTGACCACTGATCAGCTTCTGTGCTATAAAAATCCATGAGTATACATGAAGTAATTTTTTTTAACTAAAAGCAATACTATCGTGATTAACCATACCATTAGCCATATGACTTAGCATTAGTTAGAGCTTACAAAATGCAAATCTACCTCTAAAAGACAATGTCCCTGAAGAATATTCAAGATAACATAACTTAATCTCTTGTGATAATTACAGAAAAGGAATTTTTAAAGATTTAATGGCAGTATCACTTGAGTAATGACAGTCTCCTTATGTGTCTCTCAGCTTGAAAGGGGACAAAAGTTATTTGGCAGATAGAAACTCTAGATGTTTGGTAGAATGATTTCATTACTTTATAATCATACTGTCTAGTTACATAGACTCAATTTTAGAATTGGAAGAGGCTTTAACGATCATCTAATTCAACTCCTCTATTTTCCAGATAAGAGAACTGAACCCCCAGAGATTAAATGACTGTACAACAATATTACAGCTAGGTATTAATAGAACTCATGACATTCCATCCAATTTAGAGAAAGGTGTAGCCAGAATATATTATAAGCATATTATCCCTTTCTGGCTCATCTCATGATTCCATCAGTGTGTGGACAATGCCCTCTGTCGGTGGATAGCAGTAACTTGTCTGCTTTCTGTGTTAGGCAACTTCTTAAACACTAATGGATTTGATGACTTGTCCGTGGTCATATGGCTGTTCAGAAGCAGGATTGAACAACGGTTTTCCTGACTTCATGGTGCTACTTTAATTGCAATGCTATTTTGCTTCTCATTAATTTTATTAATGACAAGTAATAAAGAATGTTTTGTGCCTATATGTAAATACCCTTTAAATTCTATTTTTCAGATCCTTCTTTGACCAGACCACTTCATCATCAAACATCTGCATGCCCCCACTCTCACGGGAACCCTCCTTCTCAGACTCAACCTCCAACTCAAGTGGATTATGTTATTCCTCATCCTGTACATCCCTTCCATACTCAGATTACTTCACATACTGCATCTCATCCTGTGCCTCCTCCACCCCCAACTCACCATTTAAGCAGTACAGCTGCTCCAATTCCTCAGCATCTCCCACCTACACACCAGCCAATTTCACATCATATCCCTGCTACAGCACCTTCAGCACAGAGGCTACATCCTCATGAAGTGATCCAGAGGATGGAGGTCCAAAGAAGAAGAATGATGCAACATCCAACGTAAGCTCTACACTTGTGCAAGAAAATCATATACACCTTTTTCTTTTTGTCTCTTTAAGTCTTAGAAATCATAAAAATTTTAAGAAGCAGTACAGCTAATAATTAAATTCTGCTCTTTCTTCATTAATCATTTCTTTCCCCAACCACACCCATATTGATAACTTTTATGTGAAAATGCAGTCATAAAATAATCTCATCTAAGGAATTTATTAAAAGCAAATAAATTCCAGGCTATATATCAAGGTTAGCATATGAATGAATGGAAGAAGGGGAGGGAGGAAAAAAAATTTACTTTGTGCAAAGTACTGTGCCTTGTGCTAGGGATACAAATAGAAAAGCAAAATAAAGGTGCTCACATTCTAATAGAGACAATACATGTAGGAGAAGGGTTCAGCTTCGGGGAAGATGAAAAGACCTGGGGGTTCATTCTTAGGATCAGGTAGGAAGGCAGTGGCTAGGCTGTGGAATTTGGGATCTGGATGGCAAGTCACCCACTTCAGCAGGAATATAAAGGGGAGATAAGGCTGATGTATAAAAATATAATGTATATAACTTCTTACAGCACACACATGCACAGCATTGTACTATATATTCAAAATTACTTAAAGGAGTGCAAAATGAACCTTTAATAAAAGAATGTTTAGTATACTACAACTACCAAGTATGAAAATTCAGTGAAATAGTTAGATTTTCATAAAGTTGAAACAAAAGGGTTCTACTAAATCCTTAATTGGTTAAAAACTAAAATTGAGCCAAATATATTAGAAGTCATTTTAGTAACTTGTGGCTTTAACTCTTTGGTAAACCTTTTCTTTTCTTTTTTCTTTTTTTTGGCTAGTAAGTGTCACACAACTAATAAGCGTCAAGTGTCTGAGGCCGTATTTGAACTCAAGTCCTCCTGACTCTAGGGCCGATGCTCTATCCACTGTGCCACCTAGCTGCCCCTGATATTGTTGTTACTCTATACAATATTCTCTTGGTTCTGCTCATTTCGCTCTGTTATTTCATGCAAATCTTTCCATATTTTTCTAAGATCATTGAGCTCATTATTTCTTTCCTTTTTTTTTTTTTTGGCAAGGCAGTTGGGGTGAAGTGACTTGCCCAGAGTCACATAGCTAGTAGTAAGTGTTATGTGTCTGAGGCCAGATTTGAACTCAGGTCCTCCTGACTCCAGGGCGGATAATAACTCTATCCACTGCACCACCTAGCTCTGCCCCGTTCTGTAAACCTTTTCATAAAATTTCCAAATTAATAAATTTTGGTGCCATGTACGTGTAAAAAAATGTAGTTGGTTATAAGATCATCAAAACAATCATAGAGATTCAACTATGTGGATGATGTCTGATTGAAAATAGGAACAAACTTACAGAAAAATCAGTAGGTGCAAAAATACCCTTTAATTTTTTCAGTTTTATGTGGGATGTTCTAGATATTTCTATCCATTGATGAATTATATCTATAGGAAAATCATATATCTAGAGTTGAAAAAGACCTCAAAGGTTATCTAGTACCCCCTTTTACATTTGATGGAGCTGAAGTCTAAGGAAGGTAAGTGGTTTTTGCACAGGGTCACTTGGGAAACAAACATCAAAATTAGGAGATGAACTTTGGGCTTTTGGTTCCAGATTTTCTGCTCTTTCCTGCTATTTCCTGAGATGCTAATATTTCCTCAGTGTAGTGAAGAATAAAAAAGAAAATATGAGTGGAAATAGTATAAAAGATTTAGGGAAATGATTGTATTTTTCTGCCCAGTGAGGTGTTTTTGTTTTGGGTTTTTTTTAAGTTGAATGGCAAATTTAAAAAATTATGAATATAGGTTTTCATTTTAAATTTGATTGTTGCTTTTTGTTTTTATTCATCATTTTACTTCAATCACCCCTGTCTTGAAAGCCTTCTTTTTTATTTATTAAATCTCATTCTTTCCATACATACATATGTGTGTATAACACATACATATACATACATACAACATACATACATACATGCATGCATGTGTGTGTGTGTATTTGTTGTTTATATCACTTTTGTTTCCAAATTTAACCACCCCACCCTCTTCTCCTTCACCTTTTTATCTTTAAAACATTCAATATATATTCACTTTGCACTGTTGGTGGAGTTGTGAACTGATCGAACCATTCTGGAGAACAATTTGGAACTATGCCCAGGGGGCTATAAAACTCTGCATACCCTTTGACACAACAGTACTACTGTTAGGTCTATGTCTGAAAGACATCCAAAGAAAGGGAAAAGAACCTATTTGTACAGAAATATTTATAGCAGCTCTTTTTTGTGGTGGCTAAGAATTGAAAATCAAAAGGATGCCCATTAATTGGGGAATGGCTAAACAAGCTGTGGTATATGATTGTAATAGAATATTATTGTGCTATAAGAAATGACAAGCAAGATTTCAGAAAAACCTGGAAAGACTTACATGAACTGATGCATAGTGAAGTGAACAGAATCAGAACATTGTACACAGTAATAGCAGTATTGTTCAATGAAGAACTGTGAATGACTTAGCAATTCTCAGCAATACAGTGATCCAAGACAATTCCAAAGGACTCATGATGAAGTATACTGTCTGCCTACAGAGAAGTAACTGACATTGATTGAATACAGACCAAAGCATGCTATTTTTCACTTTTTTTTTCTTCTTATATAAAATACTAGTGTGGAAATGTCTTACGTAATTGCTATATATCTAGCTGTCTATATATATAAATTCACTGGTTAAAAAGTAGAAAAAGGTCTTCAGAGATATATACACACACATACATATATACACATACACAAATATGTGTGTGTATGTATGTATGTCAAGCGTATTGAATATAGCAGTTAGCCAAATTAATACTGAAACTATTTTTATGTTTGAATGATGTTTTGAGGGGATGTGATAAGGGAAGGGTGAGTAAAATAAAAACATTGTCATACTTTTTGGATACATAATTGTTTACTTAACTACTAAAGTATGGTGGTTTTCTGGGTATGAACAGATAATGTCACAGTAGAAATAGTATTGAATTTGGAATCAGAGGACCTGGGTTCAGATTCCCTCGTTACCTTTTAAATACCTTTTTGGCCTTGGGCATATCACCTCAGTTTTGTCATCTCAAAAAAGTGGGTTAGAATACTTGACCTGTCTCCAAGCTTTCTTCCATCTCAGTAAAGCTCTGATGCTATCAACTAGGAGTCTTAACTATGTGAATAACTTGAAGATGATTACAGAATCATACTTTTTTTTCTTTAGGAATAATTAAGTAAATATTGAATTATTTTTTACTGTCTTTATTTGTTCTTTGTTTTTAGGAGGGCCCATGAGCGCCCTCCACCCCATCCACATCGGATGCACCCAAACTATGGTCATGGGCATCACATCCATGTGCCTCAGACAATGTCTTCCCATCCTCGACAAGCTGCAGAAAGGTCTGCTTGGTGAGTTGTTTGTTTGTCTTCTATGAGGATAGTCATCTTGTGGCAATCCTGTGGGGTTTTTTTCCTCCAAGTCCTTATACCTATGCCCTAAATTATCTTGTGAAAATTATCCAGGTACTGTTGTCTTCCCCAGGCAAAATACCGGCTTATTTCCACTTAAATTCCTCTTCAGTTCCCCAAGATGACATTGTGGTTCCTAATATTTTTCTTGGTATTGGGGAAACCATTCAAAATTCCCAGTAACTTTTGTTACTGTTCATTTAAGTTGTATCATTAGTCGCTATTCTTGGAGAACTGCATGGCTTTTTGAGTTAGTTGTAAGGATCAGATGTGAAAAAGCAGGTAAACAATTTGCATACCTAAACCACCATGTAAATAAATGCAAGGTATTCTCTTTGGCAGAACTTCTCCTGTGTTTTTCTGAGTGAATCACATGCTCTCAGTTTGGGGATTTTGCCTTAGGAAAGTCGTATATATTAGAGAGGCCCTGTGGTATAGTAGAAAGAGCAATGTACTTGTAGCCAAAGTGACCAGGGTTCAGATTCTGGCTTTGACCTTTAATGTATGGCAGTCAGCAAAGCACTAGCTTTGTGATCCTGGCAAGTCATTTAACCTTTCTTAGACTCAGTTTTCTCTTCTCTAAAATGGGGATAATGTAGCACCCCCAGAGTTGTCGTGACAATCAAATATGATAATTTGTAAAGCACTTTGTAGATCTTAAAGTGCTATATAAATGCTAGCTATTATTATTTTCTGTAAAATGGGAGTTTAATTCCATAAGCATTCATTAAATGCCTATTATATACAAGACCCATGATGATAATATTTTCACTACCTTTTTCACAGTATTGTGAAGCAGGTGTTAGAAATAGATAAAATCCAGTTTTAAATTAGGGATTTGTTTTTTAACAGTCTGATAGTCCTTGAATATATAACCTATCATAGTAATGTTCTTTTAATCTTATTCCAACCAGTTTTGTTAAATGCAAAGACCTATAAAATATGTTTGCAAGGCCTGATCTAAACAGCAGTCAGGTTGTTTAATGAATTGGTTTTGGTTCAGCTGTTATGTTTTCTGTTTAATTGTATGTGCTACAATTTGAGTGAGGTACAGAGTCAAGGAGATGGATATTAAGTTGTGGAGTGGAAGGGAGGACAGTCCAGCCAGAGTCTTAGGGCATTTTCTTTGGTAGGGAGTTAAGAGACAACATCATTTGATTTCTTTCAGCCATTTTTTATTAAAAATCTCAAAATTCATAAATGAAAATATAGTCTGTTCTTTAGCAGAAACAAAGAACTGCTTTTATTTCAGAATATGGCATACACCGAAGAACTTGCTTTATTTAAACAAAGTAGTACTGTCTTTGTATATCATAGCAATAGAACTGTATAGCCTTTTTAGACCTGGAAGAAAACTCAGATATCATCTAACCCCTACTTTACAAAGAAAAAAAATGAATGCCCAAAGTAGTTAAATAACTTAGCTCAAGTTAAAAAAAACAAACTAATAGTACACTAAATTCAAATGTAACAAAATAATTTTGATGTCCCTTTGATTTCACTAAAAGGAATATCACATACTTTAGATTGTATTTTTTTAAGACAGAATCTCATGATATTTTGCTCCTTTTATATGTGCTTTAATGTGATAGCTTATTTTAAGCTTTTAATTACTGATAATTAGAAAAACAATGTAGCCTAGTGGATAGAATATTTGTAGTATGGAAGACCTGTGTTCACATTTTACTTCTGATATATATATCAACAATTTGGCTACAGGCAAGCCATTGTTTTAACTTCTCAGTGCCATTGGCATCTCTCTGAGACTAAGTTACAAAAGAAATGTTGATTTACATTGTTGGAATTTCAACAATGGAAGTTCACTGAACAGATGGAGTCATAAATCTAGATCCAAAATAAAATAGAAGCTGCTATTTCTAGAAATTGTAACAGTATTATTTTGAGATTAAAATTTAATCTTTTGAACTGTTAGAATTCTTTGGTAACACTTTCAACTAAATGTGTTGTTAAGCAAGAAATAATTTTAGAAGGGCATACAGAAATGATGTTCTTTTTGATTGATAGAAATGAATGGCATCTAAAGTTTAAAGTATTGACTTTTGCTTTTGGCAGGGAATTGGGAATTGAAGCTGGAGTGACTGCAGGGACATATCCTCCAGGTGCACTGCATCCTCACTGGCTCATTACCATGCACCTCCTCGACTTCATCATTTACAACTAGGAGCTCTTCCATTAATGGTAAGATGACTACTTGTAAACTTTTTGTTATAAGAATAATTTTTTAGAATGTTCTCCATTTTTATGTTAAATAACTCTTTAGAAGGCAGTGCATGCAATAACTGAACTTATTTTGTTTCCACAGAATTTATAAAAGTTTCTTTATTATGTAAGTGTTGGATGGAAATGCTCAGTAAAAAACAGTAGATTTGCTACAATTTATTCTTTTAATTTCCATCTTGTAAAATTTTATTTTTGGATATAAGATGAAATTATATTATCTTGTCCTTTATGAAATTGTTACTGCTTCTGACCCAGTATTAATAGGGCATGAACTTTGAAATATAAACTTTTTGAGAGCAAGGGCTGTATTTTCACCTTAATATCTCCAGTGCTTAATTATCACAGTGCCTAGCACTTAGTAGTATCTTTTTCTTTTATTCTTTTCTTTTGGAGGCATTTGGGGCTAAGTGACTTGCCCAGGGTCACACAACTAGTAAGTGTCTGAGGACAGATTTGAGCTCAGGTCCTCCTGACTTTAGGGCCGTTGCTCTATCCATTACGCCACCTACCTGCCCCAGTAGTAGTATCTTAATAAGTGATTGTTGACTAACTTGAAGTATTTTCAGTGGTCTGTCTGATGGGGTGTGGCCCAAGTTGAGGTCTTCACCCCTTGCCCAAAGGGAATCTGGCTCCCAGTTTAGGTTCCTTATCCCCTTATCTCCCTTTGAAAGCCTTGGCCCCACCTTTTTGATTTTATTAGCTATTCCCATTGTCTACTCAGTCTCTCAGACCTTCCAAACAGAATTCTCATCCCTTTTCCCAGACCCTCCCCTGACTACTCAAAGTCATTTTAGTATATAAGATCTCCCCTGGCCCTCATTAGGGCCGGAGAATCTGAAGCCCAAAAGGCTGAGACTTTCTCATGCCTGCCGTCTTTACTCATGCCGTCTTTACGGGAGTCACCTGGTGTATGTGTTTTATCACTAATAAATTTTTCCTCTGGCTGGAAGAAGATTTGAGTTGAATTCTTTCAAGCAGGGCCCGGTACCACGATCTTGGGGTTCCCAGCACCCCAAAACCTCTAGACCTCTTCTTGTCTACATTTCTTTCATTTAATCCCTAGAAGGACTGAAATTCTGTTATATAGTGACATTTAACCTCCATGTCTGATTTAAGCTAGTTTGAATACCTGACACCTTGATGCTGCTTTGTGATTTTTTAGATAGCAACATATCAAAATTGATTTAGCAGCTAAGACTGTTGAAGTATGAAATGTCATTGTTTGTCATTTTGAATTTTCTTGAGTTGATACTTGATGTTTAGTAGTAAAAATTGTCTCAGCTGTGGGCTGGGTAAAAATTAGTTGCTGGTTGATAGGAATGTTTCTATAGGAATGATTTCATGGGTGCCTTTTTTTTTATTCCAGTCATTTCCTGAATTATTTACCCTGTGCTAAAAATAAAATTCTCCTCCCTTCCCCCCCAATTCTCCCCCCCAAAAAAGGTTAAAAAACTGACTTAGCTGCCTCATCTGATAGAACATTCAATCCTGAACTTATATTCCTCTTCTGTTGAGTGGAGGTGTTTCATGTTGACTTATTTTGAAGTCATTAAATGTAGAAAATGTATGTAGGCTTTTAGTTGATACACATTTACGTGAGTGGTACATTTTAATGTTGTAATCATTATCAAAAAGAAACCGCCTTTGGCCCTAGTGATTTCAAAATTTTATATACAAAATTTATATAGCATAAAAATCAAAACTACAAAAGTCTCATTGTATGTGTGCTTTGTAGTGAATCACAGTGGAAAGTTTGTTAATCTTATTAGTACATATAGGGTAGGTAGTTACTGCTTTTCAAAGGAATTGTGAGATTTTACAAAAAGAATGTTCTTGGGAGATCATCTAGTCCAAATCCCTCCTTAAGTGAGTAAATTAAGCTCCATATGTTAATTACTTCCCTTCTTTCTCTGAGCTTGCTCTGATCTGTCAAAGCTTTAAAAAAAATTATTTCTTCCCTTTACTGCCAAAGTTCTCAAAAGTGATTTATTTTACCCTTGATGTCTCTATTCTGTCTCTGCTAAAATGGCTTCAAGATCACTAATGACCCTTCAGTCACCAAATCCACCAAATAATTAGTAATCCTTCTTGATTTTTTGGTAGCACTTGACACTATTGGCCTTTAAGTTCATCAGATATTAAGTGAATACTGTCTACAAAGAACTATGTTACTTACAGAATCATCCTTATATTTTTGTACTTTTTGCAAAGAGCTCCTTTATACAAGTTTCAAGGAAACTGAGACTGAAATGAAAAAATAACTTTTTATGCAATAGTTATCTGGGATTACATTTTAGAAACCATTACTTGAGTTTCCTATAGTATTACAGAATTTGGAATTATTTATATTTGTTGAAGTTGAATGGTATCAATGATATGAGGGAAGGGTGAGTTAAAGAGATAAAAGTATCACCCTACTCCAACTACTTAATGTCTTTGGTTGCCAACAAACTCCTTTTCCTGAGTTTGTCTTTATTGGCCAGGGTAAGGCCAGAATTCTTTTTAACAATTTAATAACCAGGAAGGGTCCCTTCACTTGCATGGCTATAACTGGGTCAACCCACCTTCTGCCACCACAGCTAGAAGTCAGACTTTTGTGTGATCCTGGATCCGAGTGGTGTCTCTCAGCAGTTAATCAGCTGTGAAGTGATCGGAGAATTAAGCTTCCTAGAGTTAGGAAGGATAAGGAGAAATAGGTGCCAAACCCAAAACTGATTGTTATTTGTGCATTAAGAAAATGAGGCAGTATTGAGGAGCTGCCCAATGCTAGGTTACCAAGGGGCAGCTAGGTGGTGCAGTGGATAAAGCACTGGGCTTAGAATCATGAAGAATCATCTTCATGAGTTCAAATCCAGCCTTCGAAGTTTACCGTGTGACCCTGAGCAAGTCATTTAACCCCATTTGCCTCAGTTTCTCATATGTAAAATGAGCTGGAAAAGGAAATGGCAAACCATTCCAGTGTCAAGAAAACCCCAAATGAGGTCACAGAGTCAGATATGACTGAACAACAAAAGCAAAGTCGCTAAGTAATAGAAAGGCACAGAATACAGATATTATTATGGGATTGGGGCAGAACAAGCCTCCTGTTAACTCCCCATTAGGCAAGCTGTTAAAGCTTGGGACGAGGGAAAGCTGGCCAACAGGGAATGTCCAAAACTCAAGCAGTAGAGCTCAATTCATACTGGTCAGATAACTATGGGTGGGACTTTTGAACTTGAAGTGTTAAGTGTTTACTTGTGTAACATTAAGCATATTGTAAGCAAGTCTCTATTGTGTGTCTGGATAAACCCAAACTGACTTTTCTGGTAGTCTTATCAGCCAAAGGAAAAAGAAAGGAGAGAGTGGAAACTTTTCTGTGGAACTTTCAAAGCCTTCAGAAAGACAGTCTCTTTCTCTCTGCATTTCTAACTCTGGTCAAGTTTGGAAGACAGACTTGAACCTTGTGAGTTTCAAAGGAGGGAGAATGGGAATGTGAGCCTCACAGGTGAAACCCCTCTCCTATTTTCCTTGTGCTTTCCAGGGTTTTCTTATGCCTCTTTGACTAGTATTGAATGTCTTCTTCAGTACCCCCTTTCCACAGACAATTTAAGATCACAAAAGAAAGCTCATAGGAACTCACCCCTCTTCTCTCTGTTCTATCTAGTTAGTAGGAGTTTAACAAATTCAAATTAACTAACTGACTGGTAAAGAAAATATTGTTGTCTTTAGTCTGGTGTAAAGTTATGCTAAAATCCTTTGTAAAACAAAATTAAGCGCACTCTTTCTCTTTTTAATAAATAGTTTTACTGCCTATGTGCCCTATTGAGAATGAGGGGGGTGGTTAAGGTGAGGTATGGGGGAGGTTAGGTTAAGAACATAAAAAGGGCAGCTAGGTGGCGTAATGGATAGAGTACTGGCCTTGGATTCAGGAGGACCTGAGTTCAAATGCGGCCTCAGACTGACACATATAAAGCTAGCTGTGTGACCCTGGGCAAGTCACTTAACCCCATTGCGTAACCAAAAAAAAAAACCATAAAAAGAATTGATGTGGTGATTTTAAAGAGAAAAGGATTGAGGGAAGCTGGGAGTGTCCCCACAAACTTTTGAACTTGAGCTAACTGAAAACAGGATGCCCTTGGGAAAATTGAGATTCTGAATGTTACCATTAGTGATTACAAATCACTAATTTGGTGATTTTGACCAAATCAAATTGATTTGGTCAAAATTTGTCCTGAAACTAAAATTGGAATGTCATCTCACTTACGGTGAACTATGTTTTCCTATTAGTATAATTGTGGTAAATCAGAACTTAATGCAAATCACATTTGCTATTTAGCACTAAGGAAATGCACTGAAAAATGCATGGGTCAGGAAAATCTGAGTTAAAAATCTAGTCTCAAAAATGTATTTGCTGTGTGACCTTAAGCAAATGACTTCACCTCTGTTTACCTCAGTTTCCTAACTTATAATAACACCCACCTCCAAGGGTTGCTGTGAGGATCACATGACATAATAATTGTAAAGTGCTTAATACTGTTCCCATAAGCACTATATAAATATTAGTAAACTAAGTACTCTGTGTTGGTCTTGAATGCAATTAGTATAGAATGCCGAAGGTGAAAATGAATGATTTTCTATGTAAGATAATTTGGAAATGCATTCGATTTAATTAATGTTATCTGACTGGCAATTAGTTTTGTTTGACATTTTAAATACATGAAATTATGAAATTTGTTCTTACATTGTGAGATTTGGGAAACCATTGTATCAGAATTGTTGTTAGAAAGGTAACTTCCCAAGGGGTAGCTAGGTGGTGCATGGATAGAACACCGGCCCTGAAGTCAGGAGGACCTGAGTTCAAATTCGGCCTTAAACAATTGACCCTTACTAGTTGTATGACCCTGGGCAAGTCACTTAACCCCAATTGCCTAAAAAGAAAAGAAAAGTTCTCTTTAGTTTGGATGCTGTTAGATTATGGATTGAACTATTAAAAGAATGTGGTAAAAATGTTTTTTAAATGTTAAATGTGTGTTAAATGGAATATATTTGCTTAAAAATTAATAGTCCTGATAATTTACTGTTAGAAGGAAAAGTAGTGAAGGCCTCTTTAAGCTATCCTTATCTTTTAGGTTCCTTGGGACTTTCTACTCAGGCAAGATCATAAGATCTTATCAGCCTTACTATAACCATGTGTTGTAAAATTGTGAAGTACTGAAGTTTCAGAAACTAAGACAACACTCAGCCAAAGTGGGAAAGTTTACAAGCTTGCTTATAGTGAAGAGTTTGATCTGAAATTATTTGGCTATCACTTATAAAAATTATGAAATTTTATTTGTGGTATTTGAGGTGAAATTTTATGAGACTGTACTATAATATTGTAAGTTTGAATTTTAGATATGAATGTCAAAATGGTCATGAAGCCCATAATCCACCATTCAGGAGAAATTCCATATGCTGCCCAAAGAAGGGGCAGTCTGAGAACTACTGTTCTCAGGTGGATATCTTTTCCCTGGGAAAACTTGAGGGGACCACCTTGCCTAGGCAAAGGTGGGATCCTCTTGACTCAGTTATTACCCCATGGTGCTCTATCCTTTCTGAAGAAGAAAGTTTCCCACCTGGTTAATTCTGATGCAAGCACGTACTTCCTTATGAATGATATAAAACTTTGCTGTGGGATTGGCTTGTTAACTGTGACTCTTGTCTGGAATCAAACAGAGCCAAAGGAGTTTTTTCTCCTGTTAATAGATTGTATCACATCAATCTGTTCCCTTGAAGGGACATTCTTGGTATTGTCATAACCATGTACCTCCTTTTTCCTTTCATAGCAGATTTCTATAAACAGGTCGGGTGAGCAGTGGAAGTTTTGTCATTACAATACTAAATCTATTAATAAATTAATATTGAAACATCTGAGTTACTAAAGTAGGATGCAAGTATGAAAGATCTTACAATTTTAATGTGAATTTGTGGTCAGCTCCATATCCTGAGCAACTAAAGCAAATGAGTTCTTAGGCTTGCCATCCACTTGTTAATAGTTATATATTTGTATGTAAGATTAGGTCTTATGACCTAATGACTTATAAGGAAGATAGATAGATAGATAGATAGATAGATAGATAGATAGATAGATAGATAGATAGATAGATAGATAGGAAGGAAGAAATGTCTGTAGATATATCCTCGAAAAGGGCAGATAAGATGAAGATGTAAAAGTTTTTAGATTTAAAGGAGTAGTGAACTTTGAGAAAGCAACAGGATTAGAATGTTAGAAATCTAAGAATATATATTTGATTGGTTTTCCAAATGTGTCTTAGGCTTGAGCATATTTTAGTAATAAGGTCCCAAAATTGGATTAAGGTTTTTATATATACAAAAATTGCATTAATAATCATAAAGAATTTTAAATCATATCCTTTTTTCTAAGTATCTTTGCAATAATATTAAGGAATAGGAAGGTTCATTTTCTATGTTAGGCCCTCTTCCTTAACCCTGTGGTTGACAGTGTCCATATCAAGCACAGAGTTTGGATAAAGATAGAAAGAGCAAATGATAATGTAACAAAACTAAAATTCTCTGAAGTTTCAAGTAAATTATGGGTTCCTAATTTGTTATACTTCTTGTAGCTCTGTTGTCAATAGGGTTAGATCCCTATAGTTGAGTTAGTTCTCACCACATGAACTACTTACTGGAAAAGCACATTTCGGATATTGTACTAAATTGTATTAGTCTTGTTACTGGCAGATTTTAGCAGAATTACCTAAGAATTTCTGCAAGTGACTTGGAACCAGAGAAGCAGATCTTCCAGGAGGAGCCCTCTTTAGAGCTGTCCTCAGAATGAGGCGTAAGCCAGAATTTCCAAGGGAAACGTTTCCAAGGACTGTATGACCACATAGGACATCTGGCACTCAAAATGAAATATGCTGATTACATGAATATTGGGAGTGGGCTACCAGATTACAAGAGGACTTGATCTTATTTAATATTGATCATTATTCTGTTACTTTGTAGGGTTTTTTTGTGTTGTTTTTATGGTGTTCATGTTTACTGGTAATATGTAAATTCTCCTCTCAAATTACATCCTAAGCCTCCTAAGTGGTTTAATATGTAACCTCACTTAGTTTACGTATAAAGCCTATTTAACAAGGTTTGTCTCCTTAAGAGATTTTGAGATTATGACTCTGCTTAACTAAGTTTGTTTAAATTTTATGACATTGAAAGAAACATGGGATTACAATTTTATAATATTCATGGCAGTAGTACACTTGTGTCCTGTTGCAAATTTGTGCCCTAGTTTAAGCCACTAATGCTTGTGCAAATTGATTTGCCATGAGCAACAGAGATTAAGATGATGTAGTTGAGGATAGAGGAGCAATACAGGTTTGATTGTGGGGGAAGTCCAGTGGTGCAGTGGATAGAGTAAGCCTTGGAGCCAGGAAGGTTCATCCTCCTGAGTTTAAATCTAGCCTCAGATACTTAGTAGCTGTGTGACCCTGAGCAAGTCACTGAACCCTGTTCACCTCATTTCCTCATCTGTAAAATGAGCTGGAGAAGAAAATGGCAAACCATCCTAGTATCTTTGCCTAGAAACCTCCAGAAGGGGTCACAAAGAGTTGGACATGACTAGAAAACAACACTGGTGCAGTGCTATAAATACGGTTAGCCCCAAAGAGGGAATTGTGCAAAGTAAGGCCACTGGGGCAAAATATAGTCTGAATGACCCCCATATTTTGAAAACCTTGCTTAAACTTTGGGTCCTGTGATTAGCCAGACTACAGTAGAGGGCGAGGTCCCCTTGAGGACAACTCACACCACCTGAGAACTAATTTCATCTCCCAGTGATGCTGTAATGAGCAGGAGCTAAGATGACACTCATCCTACCTCATCATTAAAATGTCTGCCAATCAGTATTGTCTCACCCTTATATGTAAATACTACTGTCTATAAAAGCAGGCTGGAGCTTGGATTTAGCAGCTGGCCTTGCTCCCAACTGCTTGATGCCTTGGGGCACCAATAAACTTTTTGTTCTTGTTGTTGTTGTTGTGAAAAGTAAGCCTGTGAAATTGTTCTGAACAGTTTTAACTTGTGTCTGTATTTAAATAGGTTCCAGACATGGCAGGCTATCCTCACATCCGTTACATTTCATCAGGATTGGATGGAACATCATTTAGAGGCCCTTTCAGGGGCAATTTTGAGGTTTGTAATAAAATAAGTGTAGTTGTTAGCCAAAATGTATTTAGTAAAGGGAAAAGTATATAACTCTTATTAGTTTCAGCATTTGTTTGAGGTATGGCACTGCATTTCATTGCAAAGGGAAAGAATACATCAAAACTTTCAAGGTAGTTATTAGCATTTGTTGTGTATGAATTTGTAGTTACTCTGTGTGTGTGTGTATTTGGGGTGGGGGGCGAACTAATGATTCACATAATTTGAGAGATAGGAGCTTAGAGATCCAACTACTTCATTTTACTGGTGAAAAAACTGAGACCTATGATTGCACATCTGAGGGGCAGGGCAAGAGCTGTAGCATGGGTCTCCTTATTCTAAGTCTTTCCATCTCAGCATATTTATCTTGTTAAAAGAGGAGTAAATAAAGTGTTCAGCCAACTGCAGAAATCGAATAAAGCTACTTATACAATCAAATACAGAGACACCATCTGTATAAATTAGTTGATGCTAATATTTACTGAACAGAAGTCAAAAGAAAGTATTTTCATTTGTGTCATTATGAGTTAAACTGCATGTTTTATTGGCACTGAATGTTGAATGGCAGTGGTTGGTTCACATATGAATTTGTAGACCTTTGCAATATTTCTGTAGCACTCAGATTGTAATGAACTAAGCTGTCTAAATAGGAGAAAATAATCTAGTCATGTTTCGCAGAGTTCAGGGTCCAGAAACAATTCTGTTTCAGATCTAAAAGTTCTTTGTCATTTAATCTTCAGGGGGAAAAGACATTTGGATATTAGATTTTTGTTTTCTTGTCATGTATGAAAATCCTAATTTAGTGCTTTTTAACTGTAACAAAATATCAGATTCAATTTTTTCTTTTCAGTGTAAATTTTTTGTGTATTGTAACTTTAGAGAAATTGTGATATAACTTAATTAAAATCATTACTGGCTTTTCCCCCCTGAAATCATCTTCCTTGTGATTTATGAGGTTATCAGTTTGGATTTTGATGTTTTTTTTCCTTGTTTTTAGGAACTGATTCATTTGGAAGAGCGGTTAGGAAATGTCAATCGTGGAGCTTCCCAGGGAACAATTGAAAGATGTACATACCCACACAAATACAAAAAGGTGAGAATTTCTTTTAATAGCCTTAGTAGGGAATTCGAAAAATATTTAAGTGTCCTAAGTTAGCCTTGCTACTTTATTTGTGGCCCAAACTGCCAGCTGGTTCTTGCTATAAGTGTAGTTAAAATTAGAATTAGTTTTCAAATTTATTGCCTTCCTAAGATAAATTTTAGTCCTCTAGTCAAATTTTACCTACTTCTGCAGCATTTGGTCAGTGGTTATTTAGAGTCACACTCTAAATTTTGCAAATCTTAGAATAAGACTATAACCTGCTCAGATTTCCAAGTACCACTTCTAAGCAACATGTATAGGTGGCATAAAGACAACAGCACCTTTGGCATTTGTAAAGATATCATGAATTTAGCAATTTTCAAATTCTCTGCAATTATATGGAACTCTTTTAATTTATTACCTTAGACCTTTCAGTGTCTGTTATTATTCTTTTTGAGCATGGAGTTGATGGACTAGATAAATTAAACATGGTCACCAGGACCCCGCAAGAAGCTGAAATAGATGTAAAACCATAGTTGCCATATGGTTTTTTTGATGTTGAATTTTTAAGGCTGAAATGAGAAATTACTAATATTTCTTGGCCTCCTACAATTTAGAACTGTTAATTTTCCTTCTCAGTTATTGATATTAACAACATCAATAAATATGCACAGTATTTAAAAATAAATATTAATAAAAAATGTACAAGGTGTGATTTAAATTTTTTTCCTTTAAATATTTTTTGGCTATTTAAAATCATAGAAATAATATATTTATGTTGCTTGTATCTTTTAAATTTATATGCTACCTTTACTTTTATAAAGGCTTTATTATACTGAATCAGTGATAGTACTTTTAATCTGTTAAATCATGAAGCAAAAAAGAGCATGTGTATTAGGTCCCCAGGATTCTAAGTTATACCTTTTTATTAGCCATCAGTAGCTGTTTAAAAAAATCTTATGTTTGTTACTGTTCAATGTCGTTTTGTTGATGTTTTTGATGATGTTGATTTTTAAAGAACAAATTTTACTCAGTTATTCAATAATGTCATCTCTACTAATAAGGTAACAACTGATTGGTTCTCACAGAGGAAACTGCACTGCAAACAAGATGGGGAAGAGGGAACTGAGGAAGACACAGAGGAAAAATGTACCATTTGTTTGTCTATTTTAGAGGAAGGTGAAGATGTGAGGTAATTAAATATTAATCAGATTAATTGCCAACATTTTACAGCAAGGGTTAGAAACAAATATTAAGCCTGATTTACTCTTTCTTTTAACCCATTCTTCCAGCCAGTCTTTGCAGTTGGGCATGATAGAGAGAGAGGAGGGGGTAGAGAAGAATGCATATGTCTGTGGGTGGTACGGTTAGTGCATTGTACTGCCTTTAGCTCTGCTGTTCTTTGGCTTTTGACCTTGATCAAATCATTGCCACTTGTCTACATCTTTGTTTTCTTTTATTGAGATATTGGATTAGATGCCTTCTGTGGCCTCTTCAGTCCCATGATTAAACCTGTCCCAATGTGAAGGAATGATGTGCAAAGGGACCATTTGCAAACATTCCTCAGACACTTAAGAGCTTTGTGACTGTGGCCAGGTCCCTGCACTTTTCAGAGCCCAGGTTTCTTTATCTGTAAGAAAGCAGGAATTCTGTAGTCTCTACCTTCCTCACAGGATTGTTATGAGGCAGAGTGTTTCCAAAATTTAAAGGAACATAATAGTTGTCATATTACACATTCGTGCCACTTCAGTACATCCTGTTGCTGGACTTTTGACATGTAGAAATGGTAGATAAGTTGTTTTCTGCCAAGTAAGTTTTAAGTTGACCACCTTGGAGAATCTGGGATGGAAGTATTCTTTCCTCTTCTTTGGAGGTCATATTGTTTTATCTTTCAAAGTTCCAGAAGAACAAAATTTGTTGTGTACATTTTAAGCTGGAGGGGTACCTTAGATATCGTCTAGTCTACCTTCCCAGTTTTATAGATGAAGAATTTGAGGTCCAGAGACAGAACAGCCCAATGTCAAACAGGCTGGAGGGTCAGAATTCATTCCATACACAAATCTCTTGTGACCAGTTATGGGATACAAAAGCAATTCTATTTTAAAGTGGAATATAGTCCATTATATTGTTGTAAGTTCTTGAATGAAATTAATTAAAATTATTTAAGTTTGAGATTCTGCACTCAGGTCCCAAATAATAGATTTGTGGTCTCTTATTTTCCTAATTCAGCATAATAATAGGATGTTTTCAGGAACTTAAATAGACAGAAAAACGGTAATCCCTCAGAATTTGAGCTGAAGATAGCTTACAGTAGTGAACCCACATGTCATTTGGGGAGGCTTTCAGATAAATTAGTATTAAAACAATTTTTTGTTGCCCACAATGAAGTCCTCCATCAGTGCTTCACTGTGGAGCAGTATTTGCCTTGGTTCTTGGAGGCTTTGCCAGCAAAGTGCAAGCTTGCAAATAGAGCTGAAACCTGAAAAGGTCTGGGCCTGGCAGTGGACTCTATCTATATCATCTCTGGACCATCCTAACTGTGTTTGAAGAGGTTCATCCCATATGAACACTATGTGATTTTTTCCCCCCCTTTTGCCACAGTAACTCAAAGATGGTTATGAGCAGTGATCTGAATTAATCTGTGTTGTTGATGGGAGCACCTGCAATGAAGTCTGTTTTGTTATCTTAATGCATAGGATAACTGCCTTAATTTAGAGAAGACTAAAGGGGTAGAAATAAATGTTAATCTTTTTGTTTCATTCAGAGATAAGCAAGTCTGAATGAAGAATAAAATTGTCTTAGTGACTTTATTGTTAATACTTTACCTAGAGTGAATGTCACTTGGCTTTCTTCTCAAAATGACAAATTTAATGCTGTCCTGTCTTTCTGTCCTAATTGTGGAAATCCTCTTTGAGCTCTTATAACTTGTTAACTAAAAACCTAGTTTAGTTCACCAAAATGAACACCTTTTATTTAACATGTTTATGGTAAAGTGCTACTGCTCTAAAAGGGTGGTATAGGAATTATACCATCAGAATAAATTTTGTAATGTTATGCAATTAGAAAGAGCATTGTAATCGATCTCCTGGACAAAAATGGACCTGTTATCGTATGGAACATAACTACTAGTGCAATTCTGATGATTACAGTCACTCACGATATATTGTATATTTCTATATCTATAGAAATGTATCATTCTAGTAATTTTTCTAATATTGTCCCTATCCTTTTGTCTGAAGTATTACATTTAAATTTTCTTTATGAAGAGAAAAAGTTCCCAGTGGCCTTGAAACAACCATAAGGTCTTTAGAAATGCCATTTGTATTCATCATAACATTAATTTTTTCATTTTTAAATTTTAGGCGCCTTCCATGTATGCACCTTTTCCACCAAGTGTGTGTCGACCAGTGGTTAATTACTAATAAGAAGTGCCCCATTTGCAGAGTGGACATTGAAGCTCAGCTGCCAAGTGAAAGTTGACACCATTTTCCCAGAACTCTTGCCCTCCCTCCCATTCCTATCCTTTCTGGTACTGCAGTCAACCAAAGATGGCATGACTTACCTGCGCAGATTTGAAAGCATTGAACTTAAAGAGTGCTGGCTCTGCTACATGGTACAACTAATGCTAGACCTACAGTTTGTGTATACAGTTGATTTAATGTATTTATAAAAGCTTTTTTTTTTTTAGATTTTACATTTCCCTTTTTATTTTACTGTATTTTTGCATGGTTCCTTGTATTGATTGCATTTCTTTGCACATATTATGGGCTTTGTGACCCTAAACTTGCAGGCAAGATTAGCTGCTTTAGAAAGTAGAATTGTGTGGTCCTTTTGTTTTTACATAGTACCAAGCTTTGAGAATTATGATTTCATCCATTACTAACCTTGAATTTGTTAATTTAATCAATCATGTATTTTAGTTTACTGTATAAAGATGAACTAGAAAATGATAATATTGTGTATTAAGACATTCCTTAAGTAGGACAAAAGGGCTGCTGTATATTTACAATATGAGTTCTGAGTTAAAAACCATCCTTAATACTGGGAACAGAATACAAATTATATTCAGTCAGATGCAGGTGGCATACTCATCACCAGAGTGATCGATTTGAACCTTCTTGGTGTATCCTTTTAAATTTCCTTTCAGCACAATGCAGATATAGATGAATATCGATATTATATACTTATACTGCTGTTCTGATTGTATTTATCTTTTTTCTTACATTGTCGAGAAATTTGATTCCCTGATTTAATTTCCCTGCTGTAAAACAGCTCTAACGAACACTAAATATTAATTTCCATTAGCTGGATTGTATATACTTGCAGATTTAATGAATTTTTAGGGAAACTGAAAAAAGACATGTAGAATTTTGTTCTTCAGTCTTCAGCTAAAGCACGTCTAGTTAAGATATCTGCTTACATTGGTTTTGTAAACACATTCAATCAAGATTTAGAATTGCAATTGTTGGCAGGTATCCATGCATTCATAGAACTTCTAAAAAGGTCCCAGGATCATCTTCAAGGGATTTTTATTAGTTAAAAGTTAATAAAGTTAGCTAAATCTACATGTCTCTTGTTTTATTTCTCACTAAACTTGAAAAACTATAAATCTGCAGATACTTACTGTGAGGCACAAATTATGCTGTTACCTAGTGTTGCTCTGGTTATAGAATTCCACTGTATACATTGCCAACAGTCAATCACTGGTTTAAAAATATTAATTTCTATAGTTAAGATTTGCTGAATAATATAGTATATAGAGTTAAGTTAATGTACTAACATTTCTCCTTTGGAGGAAGTTTTAATCCACGTCAGGATGCAAATTCCTTATCAAAATACTTTCATATTACAGAATAGCATAGTTTATTTGTTTAAATGTGCTCAGTAATGCCCCAAGTTGCAAATGCATCCAGACAGTGTTACTGTCATAATGTGGAAGACATGTTCCTATGGATCATATGTGAAGATGTCAATAAGCTTGCATTAAGCCACCTGCTTTGTAAGTGGATTGATTAATAAATACCTTCAATTTCCATTGTTCTTGTTTTTTCATAGTGTGTGTAAAGCAACATCAAAAACCATGAGATAAAGAATGCTTTTTAAATTGTGTTATAGCTTCATGTTTGAATCTGCCCAATTTGCTGTTTTGTCTTTATTAAATTAAGGTTACTTACCTTTTTTCATCCTCTTTTTTAGGGGGGTGGGGGGAGGCAGCAGTTCTTACAGTTAAAGACAGCATGGTATAGTAGTGGATAAAGGGGGTCAGCTTGAAATCAGGAAGACCTATTTCAAGGCCTACCTATAATGCCTATCAGGTGTTTAACCCTGGGCAAGTCACTTCCCCAGGCAACTCTCCTATCATAAATTAAAGAGAGCTACTGAGTGTTGATGATCTCCATTGGTGTGGAAAGATTTACTACAAGAAGTATTCCCCAAGCCAATGAAATCACAGCTCTTGCATATCCCACCTCTTATCAACTCCATGAAACTTAGCCACATTCTTTTTTTAATCTGTAGTACATTATAATTTTTTTTCCTTTGATGCTGAAATCTAGGGAGAGAAAACTAATTGTTAGCTAGCTATTTTTTAATTAATTTGCTTTGTGGAGACAAACAAATCTCATGGTGATATACATATTTTCAGAGACAAACTGAATGAGTTTTAAGCTACAGTTGCATACGAAGTACGAGGTAGAGGCAAATTTCCACCTTAATGGAATAAAGGACAAGTGGCCTTTCTGTACATACTATTCCTGTGATGGTATAAAGGATGTGGGGAAATATTCTCTAACTAGTTACTAGAAAACCTGGGTTCCCAGTAAAGGGCTAGAGTGTTTGTACAGTTAAATCAGAATTAGGGACACTTGGACGTGTTTGATAATGACTACTGTTGATTTTTTATTATTATTTAGATAGGACATTGCTATTTGTCATACAATAATTTTTATAAGGGATTAGCTTCCATTACTGTTAACGTTGAAGCTCTTAAATTGAAATGCTGCCCTTAGAGGAAAATGATCCAGGGGGAAAATATATTGCAAGAGTTCCTTCACTTTGTTGTGCTTTATTTGCTTTGGTGCTTTTCATTTCCTTGCATCCAGTAATTTCAAAATAAAATTTGTAAGAATGGCCATCTATTATTTTAATGGGAAAAATACTTGTCAACAAATATGTATAGATCAGTAACACTGTGTTCTTATTTGACCTGACCTTTTTCCTGCACTTGAATTATTTTTGCTTTTTAATTGCTTGCAGACTCTTCCCCATCTGAAACATGTTAATTGTTTATGATAAGAATAGTTTTATTATTAAAATTAATGGTCTATGAAACTTGAACACTAAACAATAATATTAAAATGTTCCAATTATTTTTAGCATTTTATTATCAGTTTTTTCTTTGTGTATGAGAGAAGTTTGTTTCTGAAGTAAAATATTCCAAGTTCTAAAACAACATACTTATAAAGTTTTGAATACAATTTGCTCATAAGGTCACAAATTCCTGTATCTTTTCTTTTAGCCTTCCAGGTCTTTTTCAATACAATAAAAAAAAGTTTAAACTTTAAGGAATAAATATTAGATGAGAACTCACATTATAGTTTAACTAGGTGGGCTAGGGCAGCCACTTTTGCCATTCTAAATGAAACATTTATTGGATACAATCGTCAAAAGAAGACATTATTCTAACATTTCCTTTATATGTGTAAATAGTTGCATATACATGTAACATGATTGAAACATAAATGCAGGACCCATATTGCTCATATACATTGATAATCCATTTAGAGCATAGTGTGGTTCAAAAAGCAGTGGAAGTGGTCTAGGCTGAGGGACCCAAGTCATCCCTCTATATCTCATGCAAACTGCAGTTTGACTTTGGTCTAGTCCAAACACTGTCCTCTAGGTTAAAAGGATTAAGCTATTGATCTATAATGGCTCCTTCATGTTCAAATGCCATAAGACAGGTTTTTTTTCCTAAGCATATCTTTGAGTTTTATATCATTTATTTAATTTCTAAATAAATACTCTTCTGTTCCCAACCCACTCATTCAGTTAATGTGTTTATTAAGTACTTAATTAAGTATCAAGCACTATGCTAAATGGTAAGGATACAAAGAAAGGCAAACATTTGGTCTCTGCCTTCAAGTAGCTCATTCTAATGAGAGGCACAACATGCAAAAAATTGTACAAGCAAGGTAGGTACGATAGAAAGTAAATAATATTTAATAACATTAAATAGAAAATAATCTTTGGGCTGGGGTGGAGAGACCAGGAAAGACTTTCTTCAGAAGGTGGGGTTTGCCCAGAGTCTTGAAGAAAGACAGATGGTGAAGAGGGAGAGCATTTCATACATGGAAGAGAGCACAAAATGGGGAGATGGAGGGTTGCATATGGGGAACAACAAGGCCATGTAGGTAGTTGGATAGTAGAGTACATGGAATAAGAATGGAAAAGTAGTAAGGGGCCAGGTTGCAAGAGGCTTTAAATATTTAAACACCACACAGATTTTATTTTTGATCCTGGAAGTAATAGTGAGTCACTGGAGTTTACTGAGTAAAGGAGTGAAATGAACAGACCTGTGCTTTATGAAAATGACTTTGGCTGCCAAGTGGAGAATAGATTGAGGTGGGGAGACAAGGCAAGGAGGCTAATCAGAAGGCCATTGAAAGAGTCTTGATGTGAAGTGGTCAGGCTTCACTAAGGGGTCTGCCATATGAGTGGAGAGGAGGCATACAGGAAAGGTGTTGTGAAAGGTGAAAACAAGATTTGGCAGCAGGTAGGATAGGAGGGATGAGTGTGAATAAAAAGCGGAGAATGGCACTGAGAAGGATGGTAGTGACTGTCCTAGGCATCCTTAGAATTCTTTTAAGTTTGGGGGATAGAACCCGACTTCCTTCCATTCGAAACTGCCTAGTAAAGTGTTCTACCAAGGATCAGAATTGCACTTTGTCCTATTCAATTCATACTTTGGTACCAGGGTTTCAGTAACTCCATAAATGCAGCAACCACAGCTATCTAGATGATTCTAGGCTGACTCTATTCTCTTTTTAGCAGGCTTAGTTCTCATGGTCATTCATCTTCACTTTGTTTCATACCTCTTGGGGTCTTTCTCATTAATCCTGCTGATGAGGAATGCATGACACTTTTCCTCAAATTAATTTGGGTGCCTCCTTCCTGAGAGGAGAGAGGATGACATTCAAGTAGGCTGGTCTATGAAATTCCAAAACTAACCTAACCAGGGCCCCTATGCCCCTGGCAAATGGGCTGAACAGTGGAATTATGTTGTACCTAGATATTTGTGAAACTTTGGCTTACTGTTCCTGGTTACCTTATCTCCCTGCCCACATCGGGGTTTCCTCTATAAGAATCCCTAGCCTCTCCTGGCTACTGGCCATCTTCCTTAAATGGAGGGCATCCCCCTTAAGCAAGTATCTCCATTTAGGGGGCATCTGCCTTAAGGACCCACCTCCCTTGATGGGCGTCTTCTTTGGGGTGCCCCCCTCCCTTGGTGTGTTGCATTATTTTCAGTAAATGCCTTTACTTGATTTGGAGACAGCCTGAGAGAATTCTTTCTAGATGACCTTGCAGCTCAACATTTTGGGGTGCCCCTGAAGCTTATTACCACTGAAGAGGTCTAGGACTTTTGGGGTGCTGCAACCCCAAAATCATGGTACCAGACCCTGCCTGAATGAATTCAACTCAAATCTTCAGCCAGAGGAAAAGTTTATTAGTGATAAATCACTAGGTAATGCCCATGAGGACAAGCAGGCATGAGAAAGTCTCAGCCTTTTGAGCATGAGGTCTCAGCATCTGAATGGGGGCCAAGGTGGATCTTAAATACTAAAGTAACTTTGGGTGGGTAGAGAAGGGGGTTGGGAAAAGGGTCTAGGTAAGAATTATAATTGGGGAGGTCTGAGAGATTGAATAGACAATGGGAATAGCTAATGGAAGTAACAGGAAGGCATCGGTCAAAGGGAGATAAGGGGAGTAATTTAAGTGTTTTATGTGAGGCCTGTAATGGAGGGAGCTGGAAGGCATCTGAGTAAGGCAAAAAGGTGAAGGCTAAGGCTTCCAAAGGGAGATAAGGAGCTGGGGTCTGTAGACAAATGGGAGCCAGATTCCCTTTGTGTCAAGGGTGGGGAGATCTGTGCTTGAGCTCACCCCATCACCACCACCACCACTCAGTTCTCCTGAATATGCTAGTACCCTTTCCTTCTGGGACTAACTCCCTGTACCTTCAAACATCTCATATCTTTATCAAAATGGGGGATCCTTATAAAACTAGGCACTAAACCACAGCCCAATTACCCTGTACTTCTCCCTTTGAGTAAAATGTCAAATGTAACTCCTAAAAGTAAGGTTGGGAAAGGTATGGAGGTAATAGGGGAGCTGGAAGATGTAGGGGGGGTCAGTTACTAATTAAGCTTCATTACCCATATCATGCAGCACTTCTTAAACTATGGATCGAGACCCCATGTGGGGTTGTGACCCACAGTTAAAGAAGCGCTGATAGGGGCCATAGTGGAAAAAGTTTAAGAAGCCTTGTGTTAGTGAACTGTCTCAAGGCTTATTTTCCTGGACAATTAAAGTTGCATTAGGGCTCATTCTCACCTGGTATAGCTTGGTGACTATAGCCTTGTAGCATTTTTTTCAACAAGCATTTGCTTACTATGGGGGTGGAAAGGGAGATCTCTAGGTCCAGATTGGTACTGGACCTGTGATGTCAACTTATTATTTATTTTAAATATTTTTTTACATTTTGAGTTTCAAATTCCCTCCCTTTCACCCCTCCTCCACCCTCTGAGAAGGCAAGCAATATACCAATTATACATGTAGAAATCATGCAAAATAATTTCCTATTCTGTATGAAAAAGGCATATTGCAAAAGAAAAAAAAAAGCTAAAACTCTACCAGTGCAGGTCAGCACCTTGTCTGCTGCTTAAGAGAGTCAGCTGGTGTCCTGAGAGGTTGTGACTTGCCTAGGATCACAGCCAGTATCTGACAGAGACAAAATTTGAACCCAAGTCCTTCTTGCCTTGAAGCCAGTTCCTACTAGTAGGCATAAAAAGAAAAAAAATAATTCTTGCTCTCTGAGAACTTGCATTCTATTGAAAGAAAATAACATAAACCCAGAAAATTTTTGCAACTGAATTTTGCAACTGAAATACCTTAGGAGATAATCTATTGTTGAACAAACATTTAAGCATATTTCTACCACAGATATAAAGTTGAAGGAAGACTATCTCTGGCTATAAAGATAATTTTTGAGAGCTAGTCATGTTGAGGTTTAGGGGTGCTGGGACCCTCAAATAGTGACACAAGTCCTGCTGATGAGATGGAATCTAGACCCCAAAAAGGAAAAACCCTGGACTTTCCCACATGGCCATGTGTGGGATGTCACTCAAATTAAAAAACACAAAGGTATCCAAGGAGAAACAGAAAGTTTATTATTATTATTATTATTTCAAATCTTGAGATTTGGGTGTCCCTCCACCAGGATGATCTGATGAAAGGAGACACAGACAGAAGCAAAGGACCTGATTATGTACCCTAATGGGCAAATTCCCCCCTCCCACCAACTGGCCAATATTTGGCTCACATTCTCAATGTCCGTAGAAACTGAAAACAAAACAATGAACACAATATGCATATCTGTATTTCTTAGTTTGCTGAAGTAATACCAAAGAAGCAATTAAAGATGTGCAGTCAAGCTAGACACTGTACTGTAGAGCCAGGTCACCATGACCGAAATATAGCAACAGGTGCATCAACAAAATACAGGGGGGCTTCTTCAGGAGTTTCAAGCTTGGCAAACTTTAACTACTTAACAATGGCATGAGGGGGGGAGGGTACTTGGGGTTGAATTCCTGTAAATCAGGTGATTTCTAGTAAATCGAAACTCAGGCCTGTCAGCCTGCTATGCCTGCCTTGAGTCTAATACAATTTCTATCTATTCTTTTAAGGGAGGTTTTCATGGGACCCCTCATCCCACTCAACCTTATCTCAAACCTTAATTACACTGAGGAGTCTTCACTGGGACATCCCATTCAGCCATATCTCTGGCTTTCCCTGAGGCTATAATCCCATCAACTGGCCTTTCATTGTGGC